AATCTAGTTGAGGGTAGAACTAATTTATGCTTGTTCCTAGTAATTACATCATGCACATTACTAAATCTTGAAAATTCATTCTTATTTTTGTGGACATACATAACATTAGCAAGTATGTACTGAGAAGCTACAGTCAATATTTTTATTTCTTTAAACAGGTTTCTTAGTGAGTCTTTGGGGCCCAGGTTATAAACCGCTCGAATAGCTCTCTTTTGCAGGATGAAAATAGTATTTATGTCGGCTGCATTTCCCCAAAGTAGAATGCCATAAGACATTATACTGTGGAAATAGCTAAAATATACCAGACGAGCCGTATCCACATCAGTCAACTGTCTAATTTTTTTGACTGCAAAGACTGCTGAGCTAAGTCTACTCGACAGTTTATTAATATGGGGGCCCCACTGCAATTTGGCATCTACGGTTATGCCAAGAAATACAGTCGAGTCAATGAGGTCTAACGCTTCCCCATGTAAAAGTACATCAGTTTTTACACTTTTTACGTTGGGAGTTGTAAATTTAATACATTTCGTTTTTTTACTATTCAACATTAAGTTATTAGCACTAAACCAATGCACTACAGTGGAGAGAGTATTGTTAACGTCGTCATAATTTGAAGAATGTCGTTTAACTTTAAAAATTAAAGCAGTATCATCAGCAAACAATACTATCTCATGATCATTATTTACAAGATAGGGCAGGTCATTTATGTAGATGAGGAAGAGAAAAGGCCCCAGAATAGATCCCTGTGGAACCCCCATACTTACCAGGGCCCCGGGAGATCTCTTGCCATTCACGTCAACTCTCTGAACACGATAGCTCAAGTACGATGTCAGAAGATTGAGTGCGGCATCTCTTATACCATAGTGGTGTAGTTTCCTGACCAGAGTGTCATGCTGTACACAATCAAATGCTTTGGTTAAGTCACAGAATATACCTAAGGCATCCTGTGACTCTTCCCAGGCTTCAAAAATATTCTTCACAAGCTGGATACCCGCATCTGTTGTTGAGCGACCCCTAGTAAATCCATATTGCTTGTTATGCAGCAATTTATGTGTACTAAAATGGAGTAACATTTGATTCAAAATAATTTTTTCAAAAATTTTACTAAGAGTTGGTAGTACTGAAATAATAAATGAAACTAATTTTACGGATTTATCGCGTTTATTTTTAATTTTAATTCCCGACGTTTCGAACCCTTTACAGCGTTCACGGTCACGGGACAGACTGAGGATTTGGACGTCTGATTGTCATAGTTAACCCGTTAAGTCAGAGTTGCGCTTCGTCTACCGTCAGTTTTGAATTATTATTTTTTTTTGTTCCGATCTATGCAGAGGGAGCTAATTGTATCTTGTCTTGCAGTAGTGGTTCGTTTGGGCCTAGATTTAATTTTATTGATGACAGGATCCCAAGCTGATGGTAGTACCCAACCTTCTTCTCTATTGAAATTAGGGTGTTTTTTAATTTCAATTGCCTCGCGAATCATCCTTGGGAGGAATCGGTGTTCTTTTGCAGAATTTATTAGATTCAGATAATTTCAATAATATTTCTTCCAATCTATTTTCGAATGATTCATATAACGCACTAGGAGGTTTGTATACGCATACAACAATGAAATGCTCAAGCTCTGCACAGGCTATTTCAATAGTCTGCTCAACAGAGAGGCTCACAATATCTTTACGGTTTTTAAATTTCACAGCATTATTGATAAGTATTAGAGAGCCACCACGTATAGCTTTTTCTCTGTTGAACAGGCTAGCAACCTGGTGACATCTGAAGTTAAACATAAATTGATAATCCAAGGGCCAATGTTCAGTAATACACAAAATGTCAATATTATTGCTGTTTAAGAATAACTCAATTTCAAGATCTTTATTTAGCATTCCTTGGATGTTTTGATGCACCAGGCTTATGATTACTTACTTATATATCTACTGTAGCCGTTTTCTATCATAAAAAAAAATTATTTACAATAATTTGCATGAACATCTTGTCGTAATCAATTAAAAAGTAAATCTGGTTGTTGCAAACTATTATTATAACATCGGTTGCCTTTTAAAACCGCTTTATTACGAACCTCGATCGCATTGATAAAAAAAATAATCACCATTTACATAACGAACGCCTTAAGCTGTCAATTTCACTTTCGTTGAGAATAAGATAAGTTTACAAGTATCGACATTGATATAAGTTTTTGGAAATTATCTATTTTTAGGGTTCTGTACCCGAAGGGTAAAACGGGGTAAACCGGTAAAACCCTATTACTAAGACTCCGCTGTCTGTCCTGTGTAATATTGTATGATGAACATAGTGTTTTTCTAGTGTCTGGGTGTTTATATAATATGTATAATATATATTTATTTACAAAATAAAAATATGTTTAAGTATGTTTATCGGTTTTCTAGTACCCATAGTACAAGCGTTTCTTAGTTTGGGACTAGAAAATGTTGTGTAAAAATGTGTCCAAAAAACAATGAAATTCATAATAATACACAAAGCAACTAACAAAATTTACACGCGTGTATGGAACACAACGCTTCCCAATGTAGTTACATATTATGCTAGGTTTGTTTGTATGTCAATCAGATGGACCACTCATTAGGGCGATGCCACAACTCAACCCTGATTTGCAATTGAAGTTGAAATAATGCGCAATCGGCTCCGTTGCAAACAGACGCAATAATGGCCCAATTAAAAAGGATTGTATTGCCATGTTCGTTCAATTTGCACTAATATTAACAAACGGAAACATACGTGTATGGTAATCACTACTACTAATCAGCTTGCGCAAATATTTTCACTAAGCTTTATTGTACTATTTTAATGCAGAGCTATCTAAGGTGTGAATTAAAAAAAAATTAATAATATTCATACAAATTCATGTGTTTGGTCGCCGTTCTGGGTTCTATCGTTAAATTGTGTGCTTTCCATACATTTTTCAGCGTCTGCGTGTACTTTGAATTTATGAAGGAGTCTTTTTAAAAAAAAAAATGGTGAGATCCACGCATTAGCTACTACTTTGCACAAGTGGGCACCACTACCTCACAGAATACCGGCGTGTAGTGAAAGTATTATGCTTTCGTGTTTCGTCAGGTCGTCAACGTATCTACAAACCATCGAGTGTTTCAGATGTCTATGGGCGGCGGTAATCACTTAATACCAAGCGAACCGTATTCCCGCTTGAACAACTTTTCAAATTTCAAAATTACCTCTTATAAAATTATTAATTTGAAAGCGATTCGGAATTTTTTTCATATTCCGGTTCAGAGGACGGTGTGGTTAGTGACATTAACATAGGAGCTTGCGATGTTCGGAGAATGACACTTTGTTAGACATAAGATAGCGTTGCGTGTACAAGGTCGCGGCATGACACGTGCCAGCTGAAATCTCAGTCGCGTGTGGTATTCAAACGACATTTACATCGAGTGTTTTTTTTTTTCCAAGACACGAAATGTCTGCCAAAGGACGATATTGGACGGTTGCTAAGCGAGTACGACGGCGCCGAAATAGACCGGGCGAATGAACTTTGACCGAGCCCGGTTTAGAATCGTTATATGAATCAAATTGTAACATTTTGAACTGTGTACGTGATGAATATTAGAAAGTTCACAGCTATGGGTTTTTTATCCGCACGATAAATGGATGTCTATTTTTAATACACGATAATTACAACTTATAAATGATGGTGCTTTAAACTTTTTTTCTACGGACGAAAATAGCTTGAAAATATTCTTATGAACAGATGCGACTAGAACACGTAACGTCGAAGAGTTAAAGATGAGTAAGCGACCGTTTCTAGTGCAATTTGCATTTTTATCTTTAATAGAATACTTAAAATTAAATCGATAATAGGACAGTATGAAATTTACAAGACTAATGAGAATATATCATCTCGATATTCGTGCAATTTACATTTTTATCGTCGGTAAAACGCTTGCAAAATGATAAATTTAAAGAGCTGATATATGAAATTTACAGCAGACGACACGCCCACCGCAGCTATGCCGTGACGTAACGGAGGCGCTTACATTCCGTTAACGGGACGTCGGCCGCTGTCACGCCTCCCACGTAACGGATGACGGATGGTATGTGCCAACGGCTAACGTTGAAGTTTTGATACGAGATTTTACGTGAGCAATTGCTAATTAGCGATTACCAATGGTAGTTTATGAGAAATTCACACTTTTACTGATTACCTAGAAATCGATACGTTTCTTGGTTGATCCACGGTCATGGAGTTTTGACTATGTCGTTCCAAAATTATTCACCACCATCAATCAATTGAAAATATGTATGTTTGGATGAAAATGAAATTTTAAAGTTCATTCATTAGATCCAAACTCTGTTTTTGTGGATGTGATAACAGTGAAGATAGAGATTAGAACAAACTGCTGACTATGCACCATATCTTTTGAGACCTAATACAGTTACAAGTATTTGAAAGTGACAAAATTACAGTGTCAAAATTATTGATTTTTATTTAAACTTTACGGTGGACAAACTTTTGTACCTTATTAGCTAAAATTAGCCTTGCCATATGGTATAATCCGGTATGATAGAAAAGCAATGGTTCCTATTACACAACACAAATTCTTCCACACTTGTTATTCCAAACAAGAATGCGAAAACAATAACAGACCCAGAAAATCTTAAGTGAAGACAACTTTGTTACTTAAAATCCCAGTAAATTGTTGCCCTATGATGCAGATTACAATAACTATTTTGATCTAATGACAACTTCACATTATATCAATTAATAAAGCAGTTTCCAAATTGTGTAATGATTCTTAAAATGTAGTCAGCACAATCAGATAAGAATAGAAACTACACACGACACGGTTCAAATGTATCCACAAATAATTTATTGTGATGTAAGTATAGATTAAATTGAACCAACATGTTGATAGATAAAAACTTAATTAAAACACTGACCTGTAAAATATAGTTGAAAGTAAAATTAACTCTCACTTTCACTATAATTACTGTATTATAATAGGCACTCACCCATCAGTTGTCACAGAGTTCACAGACAGCGTCTCAGGAAATATCATCTCTTGGTCTTCCACTTGCTTTTTATCAGTAACATCTGGTTCATATTTGGTGTCACCAGAAAGAGCTTCTGGAATGGCATCCTTTTCAACAGAAGACAGCTTCTGACTGACGTTACTAAGGCCGGACAAGTCGACTTTGTCATCTTCGCCTTGCAGGGCCTCAGAAACCACCAGTATGAAAAGGGCACAGCTGAAGAAATTCCATCGATTAAGGATATCGGTAACTAAAGTAAATAGATGAATTTAACTTTTATAAAATCCAGACATACCTCGATAAAACTGATATGGTCAGCAACGACGTATAGATAATACACAATCCCCCCTTCATCGTAAAACTAGTGCATAATCCACAATCCAGTACATTTTGTGTGAAAATTTAACACATCTTCACATTGATCCAAGAAAAATATTTAACACAATAATTCAAAACACTGGCGTCACATACACAAGTCGAACATTTTAATTTATATTTTCACTAATAATAAAACATTTACGGCTTAGTTACTTTTAAAATATGCAAGACGAACCAAGACAACGTACAATTTTATTGAAATGTATAAATTTGACAGTTGCCAAATTCTCAACATTTTTTTATTCATTTATATATTTAAGTGTAAAGTTGCAACGCTATTGGTGCATCAAGAGAAAAATAATTGATTAATGAATCTCCTCCAATAGTAATAAAACATTTAACATACATATCGTATCTTGATTGGTTATTTTTTGATTGAATTACATATACTCCTTTTGACGCAGTTTTATAATCCACATTTGCATATATCATGATTAAATTGAGTTATACCAATAATTTTTACTTATAAATAAAAATAAATTGGTTTTAAATAGAATATTGAATGTTTTTACTTCATTAAAAAGTGAATATGTGTGATAATCAACGATTATGCCAAACTGTATCGTATTGACGTGTATAAAATATAAATACATTCTCTGTGGTGCGGTGCACAATGCAAGACAGACGCTCTACGTCAACAGGCGTTTTGAGTTCCAATAGGAATTAGTTCTAATCTAACGGCTATTGTCAAATATATATAACTAATAATGGAAGCTATATTTGCTATACCATTTACTGTATTAGAAATACCTCATATTAAAATTAAGAAACCGTCGTGGCTGCAGCCGCCGTCAGCAATGGCAACGTTTGCATTGGTGCTTTTATCCTATTTTTTGGTTACAGGAGGTTAGGTTTCTCTTTTTACTATTTTAACTTTTATTAAATAGTACCCTTCATTGAAAAAAATACAGTGTTTTTTTCCATTTTAGGTATAATATATGACGTGATAGTGGAACCCCCTAGCATAGGATCCACGACTGACGAGCACGGACATAGCCGACCGGTTGCTTTTATGCCGAATCGAGTCAACGGCCAATATATAATGGAAGGACTAGCTGCTAGCTTCCTTTTTTCTCTCGGTGGCCTTGGCTTTATAATAATGGATAGAACTCACAATCCATCTACACCTAAATTAAACAGAATATTACTCATCTCTGTGGCATTCCTATGTATTCTTGTATCATTTTTCACAACTTGGATTTTCATGAGAATGAAACTGCCAGGTTACCTCCTTAACTGAGTCACAATTATTTAATAAATACTCCATGAAAGGAAACCTATATGTGGAAGGATGTTTTTTTTATTAAGTGGAATAAATATTTTTATACAGCTAAATGTTTTTTTTGTTAAGATTCACATTTGTATCATTCCTTTTTGAGAATGTTTAAATAAAATAACAATGAGTTATGTAAGTAAATTTAATTAAGAAACTAATAATATTTAACTATGGCACAAAATAATATTACTATTTTACCATAATTACAGCAGTTTAAATTTTAAATGAAATTAATTTTTATGCATGTAAGGAGGCAAAGACTACGCATATCTATGAGTACATTCAATGTCTAGTGAAATATCTGTTCCTTGTTAACAACAGACCACTTAATTAAAATTATACCAATCTATACAATTATATTTAAATTATCTTTTAATGAGTGGATATAAAGACAACACAGAGATTCAATAAGCTTAGGATTAATATACATAAATAGGCTATTAATTTTGTAAAAAATGTAATTATTTTTATATTTTAACAAAATAATATAGTTAAAAATAAAGCAATAACAAAAAATATTAATGTTAGGTTTACAAATAATAATAAACCGTAACTATTATTTCTTATTCTCTTTAATAATACTTAGAACCAATGAATTAGCATTTCAGAAATGTATTATCAGTATAACAATCAGATCATTTAATACATATTTTTGCAATATGACTATTTAAAGACCTGCCTTATTTAACATAGAAAATGTACATAAAAATTCAAATAAAAGTAGAGTTAAGTTACAGCCTACAAGATACTGCCATAGTTTACCAAGCGACCCTACTGCATATTGATTGACTTTACATATCTTTTTCTTTGTTTTTATTTCAAAAATACACAGGTTACTGCACAATGTTTTTTTCTTCACTGCTGAGTAAGTGATAAGTCAGGATTTAAAATTAACAATTTCTTTTTATACTTAAATTGATATTGAAATCACCATGTTATAAAAACTAGCGTGAGTATTATTCTACAGCCTTATCCGAAATGATCTGTAAACAGAAAAAATATTAATGACACACTTTTCCTTTGTATTATGAACAGTATGTAAGTACAATTTTTTTTGTGTAAATGTGAAACTTCTACATCAAAATCCATGACCATTGGTAATACTACACCATATTTGTGTTCTCTAAATGAAAGGATCAAAAGATGTAAGAGTTTATTTGGCTTTTGGTAAAATTCTACTTACTGGCAGAAGTCAGAACTTTTATCTATTATATGCTCAAACTCTGCAAAAGAAAGCGCTCCATCATCATCTAGATCAGCTTCTTCAAGGACATTTTGGACAAGCTGTTGGATTTCAGAGTCACTAAGTTTGTGCTCTGGTCCACAAAGGCGCTTGATAACTTCACGTAAATCAGACACTCCAATCATGTCATCACCATCGAAATCTGAAATGAATATCCACTGTCCAAAAATTTTATGAAGTTTATTAGAATTATACTCAGTCGGTAAGAGCCTGAATGGTTTTTGAATATGTAGGACATGCATTGTCGCCCATTTAAGCTCATTGGTTTCATTGCTGCTTTCATATGTTTTATTTATCACCTGTGATATCACCATCAAGTTATTTCAGGAGTACAGCAAAGGTTCTCAATTTTATTATTGGTATAAACTTTTTATTCAATGCTTTCAACACTATTGTTTTGAACATGTCTTACATAAAACTTCCAATTATGTATAAGAAAATGAATATTGTATATTACCACCACCACCTTGTTAGATTATCACATACTTAACACCCCTTAAGTATATCTGATACTCTTTACTTCAATCTTTCTCAGTTTAACATAAATCCAATGGATTTAAGTTTGCATTGACCAATACTTACCAAATATCCTAAAGGCATGCTCTGCTTTAACAGCCTTGGGGGCTGTGTCGCTGAATACAGACATCATATCCAGGAAGTCCTCAAAAGTACAGTCACCGTCATTGCTTGAACTGAACACTTTACATATTCGGTCTCTGAATGGGTTTACTCTTAATTCTGGGTACTGTAGAATTTTGGCCATTGGCAATTTAGCGTTTTTATTATGCCCTACTTTTTCTGGAGCTAAGGCTTTAAATTTTTGATGAGCGCTGCAAATGTATTAAGGACTTTATTCAATAATATCACAGAAATACATATAATTACGTACTATTACTAACTTCCAAAAATTTAAAAACGATGATCAGCAAGTATAGTTTAGTTCAGTTGTATTTACAATTGCATAAACCATAGTATTGATAAGTGCATTAGTAAATTAAAACAGTTGTAACTTACTATAAAACTTCCTTTTTAGTAAAATATGTAAGGTCCTAAAATAAATGAAAAAAAAAATCATTAATAACAGGTTAATTATTTCTTTGCTTAAACAAACAAATCCTCACTTCGTAATCTTGAAGTTCTTCTTCTGAAAATTGACTTTTGCCCTGACCCATAATTAATATTTAGAGTTATAAATTATGTATGATGGTAACAGTAATCAATAAAATAGAAAGATTTGTAATTTTGTAAAAAAATAATAATAATAGTAAAAGGTAAGTAAACAATTAAACAATTTGCTAGTTCAGTTTGTCAGTCAGTTCAACGTAGTGATTACATTCTCTTTGAGTCAGTTTGTCACTCTCACTCGCTCTCTCGCTCGTCCCGTCTCACGTCCGATTGTTTGTTTGTGATTAATCAGTGGTGCCAACTACTAAAAAAAATGCTCCTAAATAGTTCTCAAAAACAGCTGAATTCAAAGTCATTGTTTACAAATAGTGAAAATATATTAAAAAAAACATGACAATGAGTGTTACCAACTGTTGAAAAAAAACTCCCAAAGAAATTTAAAAACCTAAAGTCCACTGTTTTCAAAATAAAACTTCCTAAATGAAAAGTCACCATTTTTTTTAATTATCTAAAAAGGTATAATAATTATCGGAAAAATTAATTATCTGGGTAGTCAAAACTGTTTTATTTAAAAATTAATTGAAATACTTGACCTTGATCATTGTTCATTGACTTGAAAAATATTTTGTACTAATTCATCATCATCATCATCATTTCAGCCTGTTTGAATCCACTGCTGAACATAGGCCTCCCCCAAAGACTGCCACGAAAGCCTGAGTCTGAGTCACCTGCATACATCGACTTCCCGCACATTTGCACAGGTCGTCACATCATCTAGTGGGGGTAGTCCCACAGTGGCACGATGGCCAGTACGAGGCTACCACTCGTAAACCTTATTCCCCAACGATTATCGTCTCTACGAGCTATATGGCCGGCACATCGCCACTTCAGCTTGCTAATCCTCTGAGCTATGTTATACAAATTAAATACATTTTATTGTGACGTTATAATAATTTTCATAATAACATAACTTTAAATTCATTATCTTTTTCCCACTTAGCTGCATATTTTTGGAACTACTACATAGGCCAATGCACCCAACACTAGGCACTGTTATATACAATATAAAATGCTGCCAATACTAATATATTATATTTTGTGTTTATAATTGTGTAAATTTTTTCCTAAATGTGAATAAGATTTTATTCCTAAAAAGTTTCCCAAAAAATGTATACTCCTAAAAAACATCCATAGTAAATTTTTTCTTCCTAAATTTAGAAAGAAAACTCCAAAGTTGGTGTCGGTGATCACAATAATAACTAACATTTCATTAATTACATTCATAATAAACATTTTGCTTTTTTTACTCCCTTTGGTCAGTGAAAATAGTGATTTAATATTATTCATGGCCCTAAAAATGACCCTAAACTTTTAAGGACTTTAAAAAAACACAATATGCATATTTCCACCCTAGATTGGGCTAAAAGCCCTAAGTTGGCAATACTGTGATTAATACAGAACAGATTATACGAACACCGCACTCGTAGATTATAGATGGTGTAATGTGTCATAACTTTTGGCCATAACACTTATGCCCTTAATCTAATTGATCGGAATGATCTTCTTAATAATCAGAATTCAAAGAGATTAACAATCCTTTTGGCAACTCGAACAACATTTGAAAATCCATTTGACAGCTGATTAGTTGACATCTACGTCGATCAGTGTTTCAGAAACCTCAACCTAATACTAGTGCACACCGACACCGACATGGTGAAGTTGCTTTGAGACTTTCATCGTGTTGATGTGCCACGCTATTACCAGATCAACATATAATAACTTTTTGACCTATTATTCCAAGGTAATTTAATTTACCGTTACAAATTGCATTTAAGGTCTTTTTCACAAACAAAGAGTACTGGCACATGTGATAATTTTTTTAGTTATTTTTCTTTTATTATCTATTACTCGAAGAATAACTCTTATGTGTGTACATAATATGTACACACATATTTTTCTTGGGATTTTAGTGCGCTGTCAGCTCGGCTTTAACAATTTCGTCGGAATTTATGACATAACATGAACGAAGTTGACGAAGTTTACGAATTTATTGTTAACTACACGATGACTACATTCGCTGCAATGCAAGTTCTCGAAGTTTATGGATAAGAAACGAATAATATACCACAGAGTACTTTTGTATATAGGGACTACTAATTATAATGCAACAAAATTAAAAATACTCTTAATAACGTAAAATCATTCGTCTAAGAAGTCATCTTAAATTTATATTATAATATATTAGACGAACCAACTTTTTTGTACTGAGTTTGAACTCCCTGTAATATACTAACAGGGGGCGGCAAGACACGATCCAAGGAAGATCGCTCAGAAAGAGGTTCGAACCTCTTGGACTGTAATTGAATTGATAGTGGAAGTAATACGGTTGAAATACGATATAATCTCGAGACATTATCCTAGTTAAACTAAAAAAGAGAAACTTCGTTTTACAATTTTTTTTCTCGAAAACCTCGGGTGTAGCAGATGTCCATGGGCAGCGGTATTCACTTAACATCAGGTGAACCGTCTGCTCGCTTTCTTTTTCACAAAAAATAAAAACTAGTAATCATTATAAATGGTAGCCCAAGTTAACAGTAACACCAATACTGTAACACCTGAAAGTTTGCTGTAAAAACTGTAAAGTATTTGGACATCATCATTAGGAATTTAGATTGAAATGAAACGCTGTAAAACCGTGAAAATACTTTTCTTATCAATGCGTGTTCGAGTCAATACAAGAAATCATCACAACATTTTTAAGATCTACAAAGTTATATGTTTAAGTACGTATTAAGATTTTCCTGGTAGTACCTCACATAACGCAGGCAACCGCTCTTCACAGGAGACCGATCGCCAAGTGCGATTCCTTGTAATAACCATGCAATCTGTTTTCCCGTGCTTTTTTGGATGGCCGGGGGCCCATGCCCGGTATGGTGTACACTCCAATCCGTCGCCTTCCATTATAAATATAATAATAGAAAAAAAATAGATTAGTTGCGGATTTTACATTAAGATAAAAGAACTAATGTAACTTACTCTTCGGTCCCCTAAATTCGCCATTGGTTCTTTTGAGACCGACATAAGCAAAATTTGTATCGGCATCGGCCAAAAGTAGGGCCAACGAGTCTGTTCTACGTTCGGAAGCGACATCAGCTAAAACACTGCTCTTGTTTCGGCAAATAACTTCAGCCTCAGTGTAATTAATTCCGTTTTTAATTAAATAAAACATTCCGATTCCGGCTATGCAGGTTGAATTTACAGCTGAAGGAATATATTTTTTTAAAACCACTTAATAATTTTTAATATTAACGGTGTTCACAGAGAAAGAATGAAAAAGATATTTTTTAATGTTTATTGATACGATTGATAAAGTTGGTTTTGACATGTCTATCTGTCTCAATACACAAACTAAGGAAATTTATACTAACGAAGGGGATTCTCGAATACACTATAGTAGTCATATCGGGAGTCGTTGGTTAGGTACAAGCCACCACTGACTTCCGGGCACTGTAATACTTCACATGTGAAGTCCAAACGATGTATTTTATTTGTGTTTAGTTTGCATGGCCTAAAATTCAAGGAAAGTGCCCTTTTATCGACAGCAAACCGCTTGCAGCTGGATAATTTGGCATAATTCTCTTTAGCGGCAACGCTGAGCTTAGATCGATGACACTTCTTAACAAGTTGGTACTCCGGATATGATAGCGATCCTTCATTCAAACATTTATCGTTTGTTTGGACCCTGAGCAATAACAGAATAAAACACACAATTGATATTTTCATATCGTACATAAATTAAACATTAGACAAATAACAATAAAATATCTCTAACTCGCTTATAAAGTAGTTATTTTTCTGTTCTTTTCAATTTCGAATGAGGATGTACAATGAGAATGAGAACGTGCACTGCTCTATAAAACGGAAGCAAATGACAGTAATTGGTTTCGTTCAAGGTTACAATTTCCGTAATCTAGTCATGGGAATGATTTTGGAAAGTATCTATTGAAACAATTCTCTTTGGGATTCTGTAGAAAAATGCGTTTTAATACATTTTAAGATAATACGGGTTTACATATACACGCTTTATGTATCATGAAATCACACGTGTCGTCGCAAAGAATCTTAGAACGAAAGGCCTGGATTATAGACTTGTTATATGACAGCGGGTACACATTCATCGACCACTCGCAAAACCTCCCGTATCAAAAGAATACCAGAGGAAAATGTTTTTTTGGAACAATTTCATAAAGAATTAACCTTTGATATGCTTGATAGCTTTATTTTGCTGTGTTTTAACTAATGCAATTGGACTAAATTATTATATTATTCAGTATTTTTAAGAACTGTTTAATTGACGGAAATAAGTATGTTTGCTTAAATATATGCATGTTTTGCGTGGTACTGGCCAACGCTTTAATCGACTTTAAAACGACATTTAAATCAATGTCACTAATCTAGACATACTTATTTCGAACAACTTTCACGTATTTAGAAATTGCTATTTTAATTCGTTATCTTTATTGTTATAAAACATATATACAAAAGGGAAAATACCCAAATAAGAGGAACAACATGGGTTGTATTTACTCCAGGAAAATGATTGAGGTGGGTGAAGTTTACTTTATGTGCATTAAATTTTGTACGACATCAGTGTCAAAGATGAATAAGAGCGTGTAAACAGAGTAATCAATGTTTGTTGTTTGTCATTATTCATGATATAAATAAGTATACAGCGTGTCGTTACCATCGCGACAATAAATGAACACACATATAGGGGAAAACTTTTAAAAGTTGTATTAAACATTTAAATTCTTTAAACATCAATATTTACAGAGTTATTAAATTTTCCAAAACAAAGAATTTTAGAACACCCTTACCTATAAAAGCGTAACGTAAAGTTCATTTGTAAAGGTCACAAAACATATGAATGGGTTGAATGAATTTAAAAGAGACAAAACATACTGTTAGAAGGAGAGGCTTGTAATCCGACGTTGTGGCGCGAGTTGTATAGGATGTTACAAATTTTGTTTCTTTTTTACTTAATTATTAGTTTTGTTTGAAAAATACTTTTTTTTTTAATTATGGATTTTGTTTAACAACAAGCAGAATTCGGCGGTCGCCTTATAGTTTTAATATTTTTTTATGATTATTGGCAATTAGCGTTAGACGTGTCTTCATTTATTGTCGCGATGGTAACGACACGCTGTATATGAGCATGAGAACTTTACTTACTATGAATATCAGAAACTCAAGGCATACTATTATTCTTAGGATTCATTGGCAGCTCCAGCGAATAAACAACCTTAAAGTATAATACAAATTAAAGGAATGATTTATTTATTTCTATAATAATTCTAATTCTTTAGGCACTTGCTTTAGGTTCATTGGCTGTATCGTTTTTTAAAACGTGTGAAATCTTTGCAAACAATTCAATCATCAAGATATATTTTGCCTTCCATAATAAACTTAATTGATAATTGCGTACACATGAATGCGCACATTCGTTATCTCCGTAAACTTTCGCTCATTAGTTTCTAAAGCACAGGAAAATCTTAGCACATAATGGGATGCCTTTGAAAAAAAAATGTATATTTCTCTAAATAGTAATAATTTGAGTTTTATCTTCTCATCTTTTCTGGCTCCTATTAAGCTCCTGTCCAGATGAGAAGACCTTTCAATGTCCATTAAAATAAATGTTACGTTCAACGTTTAACTTAAACTAAACAACTACCCACCGTAAGCTCGCCCGTAAGCCGCTGCATAGCTAGCGATGGGTTGGTCATATAGCTCTGTGAACCGTTAACCGATGGGGAAGAAAGGTTCTAGAGTCGCAGACTCGTACTGGGCCATCGCAGAGTAGGACGACCCCCACTAGATGGAGTGAGGACCCGTTCGATGGATGCAGGTAGCTCAGGATCCTGCTTTGTGGCACTCTGTGGGGGAGGCCTATGTTCAGCAGTGGACTCTAACAGGCTGAGATGATGTTGATGGTGAAGTGAAACGACTGCGAATTTGGCATTGGTGCGGAGCGAGGTACAGCGGAATTTCATCATCCCACCAGGAGGACACAGCTTACGACATGACCCCCATCCGCCATCTGCCGGTGATATTCGTGAACGGCGTGCCGGGCGCTGGCAACCAGACTGTAGCGCAGACCATCTCCACGATCACGGGCTACGCGATGATCAGGCCCGGCGAGCTGGTGAGGAGCGAGGCGGACAGGGACACGGCCCGCGGCCGCCTGATAGCAGACAAGCTGCACGCGCAGGAGGACATCCCTGAAGTACGTAGTCCAGTCCGGCCACTTGATTGGAACTCTTTTTTTTTTTCTAGTGATGGGAATCAAGCATGCCTGATTTTTTGTAAGGCCTCGATATCAATAGAGCCGTTCTATTATGAAATATCAGAAGCTGCCACGTAAAACATAAAATGTACCACCACGGGTTTGTGCTGATTTCAGTAGTTTAAGTCCGTTTTGAATGATAGAAACTTGAATATTGTGGACGAGTTTCGAAAAGAACAAATTCTAACAGTTTGCGACCTCACAAAGCAGTGATTGTACATGTATTTAAGTGTATAGGTAAATAAGAAAGAAGCAAAATTTTTAGTTAAGTTATAAAATTTGCAATTTGCATTTCCAGAGTTACTTTCTTACATAGATTGCGGAACAAGAAGGAAAACACAATTTTTACTTAACAATTTTCATTATCATTCACCACAAATATAATACTTCCTTTGCAGCAATTAATAGTGGACCTCATAAAAGAAGCGATGCTCTCGCAACAGGACGCGAAGGGCTACATCCTGGTGGGGTTCCCGAAGAACCCGCGGATGTCCAACATATTCAACAGTCAGGTGAAGTGGCCGGAGAAGGTTGTCGCGCTGGAAGTGGACAATGAGGTAACTTTGGGATATGCAAACGGATAGAGTTTGCCCTTTAAAAGAATTACAGAAGCCGTAACTGATACATATTGATTGCCCTCTATAATATACGACTTAATTTGTTTCGCACTTTTACTGCGTTTTGCGCGTCTTAAAACATTTGTATCGTCTGTCGAGCGACACATAGAGTGCGTACAACGCTTTACGAATTTCACCGACTTTTAAGCGTACGTTCCGGGAGTTATGGATTAAAATGTGCAAAAACTACTTGAGCTGATGTGACTGCGACTCGTGAGCGTGTTCGTCGCTGAATTTTTGAGAACTTTACTCAAGAAATATTATCGGCTTTACTTTAATGAGCAATGATATATACTTTAAAGCTTGTTTACAACCAGCCGCGTGATTAATAAGCAATAGCGAATCCCACTGTGATAATCATTTGACTCGTATTGATATAGATAATAGTTAGGGTTTGGGTTTTGGATTGTTTCATAACTTATGTTTTCATTCCTATGCTTATCGTAAATACCATCTAAATGGTTTTTTATCGTCCCCAGCGACTTTGTCGCTTGTAATGGGTGAATGACGTAGACGAAACTCTGTGATGTAGATGTCATCTCTGTGCGACAGATGCTGCTATTCTTATATCCGTGTGTGTATATATGTATTTCGCTCCGTCGACTTTACGCTCGTCGCACAGCGTCGAGGGCCATGCGAACACCGTTTGGAGGTTCGAACTGTTGAATCGCGAGCAGGTGGCGGCGACCAGGCTCCAGAACAAGCTCTCCGAGCTGGGCAGGCCCGAGTCCGAGATAAACGCGGCGCGTGACATCGTCCGGGACGCCGCGCACAAGGTGAAGAACGTGCACAAGCGGTTCGGCGGTCACGTCATCACGGTGAGCGTCTGTCACGCCACGGAAACCTTGGCCACTCGACTTGTGTTGTATTTTGTGTGGAAGGGCCACGCGGTAGCCTCGGCTGTTGCACGAATGGGCAGGCTCGTCCGCGTTAGTACCCCACAGAAGACCGACGTGAAGTGGAAGTATAATACTTTCGCGTTTCGTCTGGTGAGTGGGGTAGACGGAGCAGAATTTTCAAGAAGGTTGACAACGCATCTGCAAACCCTCGTCGACAACGAAAACCTGCGACAGTTCGCCTGCTCGCTTGACAACTTTTCACATAAAAAGAAAGGGGGAAACCTTGACTACTTCGATTTGGCCGATGTTTTGTATTGTATTTTGTGTGGAAGGGGTTGAGGAGTTAGTACCAAGGACAACTGCGAGCTAGAAAGATCTATTGTAGTCTACCCTTCGGAAACACTGCCCCCTTACTATAGGACAACATTGTCCTGTGTAGTAAAGACGTTTCACATACATAAATTTTACGCGGACAAGCACCCAGATCCGAAACAATATCTTGTGTCTAACAAATAGTTGTCTCGCGTGAGAATCGAGCGCACCACCCTCTTCGCCTAAGCCAATACCTTGGCAACTGCGCCATACAGTCATCTTCCTGTCTGATGTTGACTGTTAAAGCTTCGTCTGCTGAACTCATGAGACAACCAGTGAGCCACCGATAGAGATGTGTCACTAATCATAATACTTAGAATAGTGTAAAGAAATCATTCGATGTACAAAAATCATAGCCTACGTGACCGACGGGAATTTGTGTAAAATATCCTTAGCAATGAAAACAATCATACATTTAACGGAGATAATGACCGGGGCCCACTTGAATTCGCTTTTGTTTTGGATTTTTTCGACCTTGAAGCTTCGAAGTTTCCTCCAAATTCGTGTTTCAAATAATTCGTTCCATTTGTTTCTGAATAAATTATTTGAAAAAGTTAATCCAAAAAATTTGTTAAATAATAATAACGTTAATTCCTTTTTTCAAATAATCAATAACACAGACATACTTAATAACGATTCTTTCGTCGAGATTAATCACTCAACGTCACAGTTATTATAGTAAAAATATCAACATATTATAATCAAAAACATTGATATAATCTTTAATGTAAATATTAAATAAGTATGGTTTATACTCGGTGGTATTTGTGTAGTATAGATCACAAAGTCATCCTGTAACCAATTTTAAAACGATTTTAACATTTAAATTATCGTAGTGGCATCCGCGCACGTCCGTCATTGTCGGCCGCACCCACCACCACCTCCATGACCACGGTTATATGGGATTTATCGCACGCGATCTCCCTGTAAATTCTTTTTTAGCTGGACAGCAGCGGTCATCCGTCGGCGCTGGCGTCCACCCTCAAGGAGATCCTGTCGGACACGATAGAGCAGGGCTACGGCAGGCCGGAGCCGGGCGGTGGGCCCCCCGCCGTGGCGTCCATACCGGCTATGCACCTCCACAACGACACGACCCCACAGACGCTCGAGTGCGAAGAGCAGCCCCAATGATTGACGCCCCGAGTTCGGTTCTCGAGCGCGTCACATTCGGAATATATATATTATGTATACGTTGTTTGTTAGCAAATCGTTTTCGCGTTTTCATTGACCCCGCGGTTTGGTTTCTGAAGTGAAAGTTTAAACACCTCTCTCCAAGCTCTGTTTGGGTACTGATAGAACTTTATATCTCTATTGTTAACTTTATAACTGTGTGCAGAAATAAAAATTGATAATTATTGTATTTTTAAATAAACATTTTGCCTTGTTCCTGATTTTTCGATATAATGATATCCAGTAATCTAACTTCCCTGTAATTGGTTAATAAGAAAAATAAGAAATATCGTGTAAACAATCACACGCTGTGTTTATTGACTTTTGGTTTAAATTTCACATGCTGATAGTTTTCGTAACGACCACGTCTTGCAGGTTTTTTTTTCAGAAGAATTCCAATAATAGGGAAGGGCTCCATTGTAGTAAGAAGACGCAGATGGCGCTGCGATCGAGGGATGTATCAGCAAATCGCATATTATTTTAAAAATAAACGAGTGTAATATTATTTGTGACCTACCTATGAATACTTAACGTGGATTTAATTTGCGCGATTGTTAGTTTTATCGAACCACGCTTGACCTTCAACCTACGCTTGGCTCTTTATGAGAAACCTAGAGTATAATTTTATACTTTATATATATTAAAAGAAAAAGATGAATATAATAAATTATAATTAAATGAACAGTTATAGCAAGACTTGTAAGATGATGATGACATCTATAAGATAACATCCAAACGGATGCCATTGTGCTAAACTTGCGATTAAGCACAATGCCATCTGTTTGGATCTTAATTCAAAAAGAACAGCCTTATTTTAATCAGAGGTTAAACGTAGATGGCGCTTGTCTCGTACTTTGTGTTGGTGTTGTAAAATTATTAAAAAATGTAAACGGATTTAAAAATAGAAAGCACATCTTCGGTTCAAATAGATACAAAATATATGCTTATTAATGCAAAAGCTATTATTTTTTTCTAGATAAAGTCGGAAAAAAGCTAGATTACAATTACAGCAAAAAAAATTGTAGCCTAATTTCTAGCTGAAATAAAAATGATAGTATTATTTCACCTGGAATAAAGTTACATTAAAAAAATATTTTAATTAATTTACAAAACATACTTGGAAAATCTAATTTTAGTATAAAAAATATTTTACAAAAAATATTAATTATTTTATTGAACAACTATAGCACATACATTAAAGTAGATCCTTTAATTCAAATAATTTAGAATCTTCATCGCCAACGTCCATACCACGTTGAATACACCGGTTCTCGTCCGATCACCGAAGTTAAGCAACGTCGGGCGCGGTCAGTACTTGGATGGGTGACCGCCTGGGAACACCACGTGCCGTTGGCTTTTTTGTTGATATTCCAACATTTTTTGTAATTTATTTATTTTTATTCCTTCAATTAATGCAGAAATTATTATTTATATTACTATTATCCCCAATAAACTACGACATATTTTTTAAAAATGCAAACTTTTTGCTTGCTGTTTGTTTCCTTTATTTAAGTCAATATAAAGCGATGCTGGCCATTGAGACTGAAGAAATTTATTTTTTCGAAATATTCAAAAACAGCTTCACCGTGACAATTGACAGTGCATGTCGTTGTCAATTGTCACAAAAGCGCATCGATTTATGAAACAAAAAAAATCGCTCATTGTCGCTCGGGCGCCCCTGCAACTCGCATCGGAACTCCGTAGAGACGAAACTGACGCCTTCAGACATTTCTTCGTCGTTTTTCACAGCTATGACAATATCGTTGACTTAATAAACTCCTGTCTAAGAGCGGCTTGTGTCAAGAAACTGCGCGGGAATCCAATTTGGCAAGACTGGATAACATCACCACGCTGCGCAAGTCTGTGATAAAAGTTATGAAGATCAAATTGCGTTAGTACTTCATGATTAGAAAGAAACCATTACATGAATACAATTTCTTTTTCTAAAGTATTTAGTATCAGTTGTACTAGTACTAACTTTTAGATACATTGCACTATTACAAGTATTAAAAAATATGACTTGTTTTAAAATATTGATTTCATAATTATAAACAGACTTTAGATAAGTTTTTTCAGTATTTATTTAAGTAGATATTAATATATAAATATATCTAAGTAAATACATAACATTGAAGTTTTTATCTACCTAATAGGGAAATAATTCCCCACAGAACGTTATTTTTAAACGAGTTCAATTAACTTGTGTCTAAATTGATGATTACTGCGAGCATTTCCAATAAAACTGACTCTAAAATCTGGTATAACAATAAAACTTAGATTTTAGTTACGAAATTCATCTGTTCCAAGTTTACCTATTCATCTTATTCTATGTGCTATGAACGAGGGTCTGATGACAAACTATGTAAGTTACTAAGAATTTTTTTAGATAATTAAAATATTAAGTGAAGCTCGATATATACTTACAATAACGGTAGCGGGATATCAAAATTCTGACGTGATTAGCTTTATGAAAAACAGAGCAATTACAATCATCCATAGCTGATGGTCCACAGATTGTCTGTCTGCTCTATCTCGGGGTTTTACAAGGTTGTGACAGTCCGCAGAAGCGATACTCCATGGTTCTTACACGTTTCCGATGTGTTCTAGTAATTGAGCAGGTGAGGGGTATCATGGAATGGAACCCCATGACCCGAGCATTTTCACAAGAGGCGCAAACGCGACCCGTATATCGGCGCGGTCATCCTACCGATCGGGGCACCTCACGCACACAAAGTTGTCTATACTGCGCTGTCTACCGCTACAAGAGGCGTAAGATTTTCCCCCCTCGCCCCCCACCCCAATCGGCGCGTGCCGCCTCCATCGTAACCAAGACCACCCCATACGGATCGGCAGCTCGCGACCGCTTCCCGTCCACGTCGTCGACGGACGAGAACGAGAGCGGCACCGACTGGGAGGCGGAGGGGGGGGCGCTCAGGCCGCCCGCGCTGCCCCCCCGCCTCCCGCCCCCCCAGGGCGTGGTGGTGGGCTCGGTGCGAAAGCGGCGCGGCAACCTGCCCAAGCACTCGGTGAAGATACTAAAGCGGTGGCTCTACGACCACCGCTACAACGCATACCCGAGCGACGCCGAGAAGCTGGCCCTAAGCCAGGAAGCCAACCTGACCGTCTTGCAGGTTTGTGCCCGCAGACGTCACATTTTCTTGGCGTCCACTATAACCTTTTTTAATTAAAAATGTGATGTGAAGTAGCGATAAAAATTAGAAGTGGCAGCCTTAAGGGCGTGAACATTTTTATTTCCATTATATCAATCAGTGACTTTACCTTATCTGATGATGTAGAGTTATAAAATGACATGGTAAACGCTCTAGCACAGTGACAGAAGGGCGTAGGCATTTTTTTCCTATATATCAATTCTTATCTGATGATGTTTTGAACTATAGGAAGTTTCATCGGGTTCAGTTGAATAGTTATGGTATTTTTTGAAGTAATTAAAATACATTCTGCCTATTTCATAGGTGTCCGAACAAGTATTTATTGTATTATATAAAAATTAAATAATGTTTTAATGGTGGTTAAACAAATAATCATTCCACAATAACTTTCAAATCAATTAAGCTTTACAATACTTTAGAAAGAGCATTACGTGCACATAAATGATTCATAGAGAAAATACGGTCTGTCTATCTGTCTTTAGAGCCGGGTATTCGAACCTCAACATGAGGGTAGAACCACCTCAACATGAGGTTTCCAATGCTCGAAGACGAGGATGAGTACTTTTTGTATTTCCACCTTTACTTGGTTTGATTTCGACTGACAAGTGTATTTTTTTATGTGGGTAACAAGCAACCGGCGGTTCCCCTGATGTTAAGTATTAACCTTTGACGTTTTCAACACCCGCATGTGTTGCAGATGCGTTGCCACCTTTTAATAAAGTGGGCCCCGGCTCACCAGATAAAACGCAGAAGCATATCCCTCCCACTCACGCCGGTCGTGGTGCTTACCCGGTCGGAACTGCCCATTCCACGACACACCTACCACATTAAAATCGAGTATCGCAGTAGTAGAGTACACAGGCCGTCTACCGCGGGGTCTTTTTAAAAGGAAGACCTTCACAGGTGTGCAACTGGTTCATAAACGCGCGCCGTCGCATCCTGCCCGAGATGATCAGGCGCGAAGGCCACGACCCGATGCACTATACGATCTCGCGACGTGGCCGAAAGCAACCCTCGGCGCTGGGCGTCCTGGGCCTGGGGGCCGGCCCTAGTTCTGGCCTTGGCCTGGCCCCTGGAAACGTGACTGTCGCCGCCTGGGGCGGAATCGAGGTTGAGGTTGGTACACGACGCGCAATACACTCAGCATTTGGTCAATCATCATTATCAACTTTCAAATTGTTATTGGCAGATGGCAATAAAACTCTTAAGTTTAACGTGTAATCTATTTCTTCCCACTTGGCCTTATATCGTTATAAAGTTTCTTTTAGAATAATGAAACGTTTATTTCTTAACGAAATAAAATTATACCAAAACTCACTCCCTTTTTTTCTATAAAAAATTTGCTTACTCCGTTTTTGAATAGTCCCTACGGGTATGGCATCCACTGTTGAACAAATGTTTAACCCTCAATGCTTCAGACTTTTTGAAGATCTAGTCAGGTCATCATAGGGCCTGACGGGCTGAAAAGGTAGCGTAAAATTAGTGCTTTATCAATAAGTGAATTCTACATATGTCGATAACTTCAACACTGCTAAACCGAAAGCACAGGTCAAACCGGTGGGAGTAAGAAAAAAATATATAGTATAGTCAATATAACGTTTAGAATCTATCAATAGGTTTATTGAAATTTCACGACAGAATTAAATTCCTTGAATTAAATTCCAGAGTATAAGCACAAAAAATAGTTAGTTACAACGGCTCGCCTGGAACCTTCTGATGCAGAACGTGGTCGACAACAGCCGTGGTCACGACTACGGCGATGGTCTACTGGTCTATCGGAACGACGAGCTCACCGAGGAGGGCTACTCGAGCGCCATAAGCGAGGAGGAGGTCAAGTACGACCCCTCCGTTTGGCAGTCGGTGATACGCTACGGGCCGGAAGACCGGGAACTCCATCCGGCAGCACGCGGGTGAGTAGACCGAATGCATTCTTCTCCTTTTCATAGTGATGCGTCCACGCAGCAGTTACTACTAATGCATGGACGGGGGCGGTTTCCATATAGGCCGAGGGCGGCAAAATTTGGGGGATGGCAAACCTTGGTGGGATGTTTTTTCAGTAGTTGCGCCTTTTGCCTCTCGCTCGCTCCTTCGTAGACGATATTTTGTAAAAATTACAATAAACCAAGCGGTAACGATGAGTAGGTACCATTTTCCTTTTCTATTCCTATGCTTCATTTAATTTTTCGTGCTTTATAACGAGTACGGGGTTGGCAATCACGAAGGTTTTAATACAAAAAAAATAAGAACGTAGTCTGTCCGGGCAGCTAGTTAATAATAATAATAACGACGAATCTAACTACAAAGTTCGAGTGCGAGGAATGTTGTTATATAAATAATGAATGCTCGGCCGATTATGGCCATCAGATTGTCCGCTTTTTTTTAAATCTCTTTTGTAAAATAACTACACGCTTCCAAAACAGAGTTGGCGGTGTGGTCACGGTCAGCTCGACGAGTGTGGACGGTGGTGGAGGTTGGGCGCCGCAGCCACCGCGCTTGCTTCAGCCGCGCCACCCGCAGGTTTCTCCCTTACCGCATACTTGTTTATTATACAGTTTATACATATGCTGTTCCAAAGTTATATGAAGTTAGGCAGGCTTGAATAACCAGCGAAACAATTTGAGTCATTTCTCACTGGGTCAGGTTCAAGAGTATTCTGGATCACTCTCGCAATATCTCGAAAATCAACAAACAAAAGTATTCCGGCGACTCGGCCGACTTTCGGGACACGCTGTATGTGTAGTTATATTCATGTATAATATGGTTCGCTCATTGAGTTTGTGTTATCAAGGGGAGCACGCCGCCGCCGCCGGTGGCCATGGAGCTGGAGGTGGCCACTTCGGACATGTGGTGCCACGACCACAGGGCTGACACATGAAACGATTTGCCCCAACACTCAGACCTCACGGCCCTGACACATCTGTTCAGCGCTCTAAAAGACAAGCTAAATCCGTGGGGTGAATTCATTCGGAACTTTAAAAACTATTTCAATGCCAATTGCACAAACTGTCGCTGAAATTCTCCTCGACGCGAAAGGGAAAAATTTCGATCAGGTGACGGCGTGTGTCTGACCGTAGAAGTGTTATTACGTTAGTTCAATTAAGCTCCAGTGTTAGAAGTTGGTAAGAGCCAAAATGTTCCGCCGTAAGCGGAAATACGCAAGATGGCCGCGAAGCGACGAGTTATTCGAGCCTGGGCGAGGTCGGTGTTAAAACCCCTTAAAGCCCACAGCTTCGGTGGCTGTCATTGTTTTATTAAATAGCCTGTTCGGTGAATAAAATGTTGTTTCGGTCATTCCGGTGTTCTGTTATTGCTTCCTTTGCCGACGTTTTAATGCCGGCATCACCTGACAGCGGGTACTCCTCATATTGGCTATGTTTGGCGATTCGGTTGGATTAAAGCCGAGCCCTCGCTTCAGGTGGTGCCGGGGAATTCGGAGAGCGAGAGGGACAAGTTCAAATGCCTCCACCTCCTCGTGGAGACTGCGGTAGCGGTGCGACAGAGGGAGAGGGAGAGGGAACGGGAGGCTGCACAGTAGACGTTGCCGCTCCGACCCCCGTTGTTGTAAGGCGAAATGTTCAGTACGTTAGCGTTTAAGCGAACCAAACCGGCGAAATGTTTGTTCTTCGAGATTTAATAAAACTGCTTTTGATATTTAGTGCGTATGCGTTTCACACGAGTGCTGGTCTGAACTTCCTGAGCTTCGTATTTGGGTTTGATTTTAAATTTTTAAAACCTTGGCATAAAAAGAGGGGGCGTTATAAATTTGACTTGTCTGTCTGCGTGTTTCTGTCTGTGACACCGTAGGTTCTAAACGAAATCTTCTAAAAATAATTAAAAACCTTTATAGCGCGGTTTTTTTTTAAGTTGACGTGATCAAGATGTTTCTTAGTTATATTTTGAGGGTTTTTCGTGTCAGGAGAGTTACCTAAAATTTTTTAATTTTATATTATTCTGCTACAAATCAGTTGTAATGGACATGTCATGAACATGTAACACGAGAGAAATCTTTGCTGAAATAATTTGGAAACAGAGAACTATGCTCGAAAACTTCTTCCGCTATCGGTCATTAGTTTAAAACATCAAAGAGCTAAAATCGACGTTAGGTTAGTACCGAATTTTCTGAAACAAAATAGTCATAATATTTTTGGTGTTCTTTAACAGGTAAATGAATCCGATAAATAACAGAAATAACAAATAATTTAATCTATTGTAATTAATATTAGGCGTTATATGTACAAGTAGAGCGAGAGTTGAGTGAGCAAGAGAAATTTAGTTAGCGGCGGCGGCCGCTACCACGGGGTCCAGGATCTTTTGCACTTCGCCGAAGATTTCGTCGACTGTGGCTTCAGCGTTTATCTGCAACAAAACTTACCAATGCAACGGATTTCTCTTAACTACGAACCAACCTAATCTAATACCTCTATTTTTATCGTAGCTGTCAGTATTAGAATAACACAAATGCCTCGCTCAAGCGTCGAGTTCACTAGAGAATACATATTTTGATGGTGGCTTTCAAGGAAAACATTTAATTTTCTATACATTTACAGTGAAACCTTTAACCCTACGGTTTTGTGGCCTGACCACATGCTAAATGTGAAATAAAATCTAGTCTGGGCTTTAAAACATATCCCTTGTGTAAATCAACTTGGAAGGATGGAACGGTGACGGTTAATTGATAAAGAATCCGTCAAACAGCTACAGCACATTAAATAAATGGGTTCGTATTTTATAAAGAATCATTTTGACATTATTTATTTTATCAAAAGCCAAACGGGTTCTGAAATAGAATGAAACGATAAATGTCGTTTAGGCTGTTTTACTATCCACACCTGCTTTAATACCGGGACAATCGAAAGTTGAATTTGCCGTTTCCATTACTACAACAAAGCTTAAAACCATAGCTTATTAAGGAGAATAAGTTAATAAAACACGAAAAGTCTTCAAACGTAAAGCACAAAGGTCAAGGATTGGTACCGGTACGGACGCTAGAATGCGGCAAGCAATGCGGGATCATTTAAATAATCGATTTTTTTCAACTGACATTATCCGTAATTCACTTTCTATTATTGTTAACTTGCAAGCAATAAACACGGCACGGTCTTCTTCCATGTTTTGCCTCCATAACAGGATAAGATTTCTGTACTGCAGATATATGACAATGTAAATGTGTTGTCCTATATATCTTAATTGTTTGGATCTAAATCCGAAACAATTATTTATCCGTAGGTTATAGAAATCAAAGAACGACGTGTGTCAACCCAGAGAAGACCTATGGGGGCATTAACTTAAGTTAATGACCATAGTTTAGCAACTGTCGTACATGCATATGTTGCACTTAAGGGCAGGCTCGTTCGGGAAAATACCACCAGTCTCACAGAAGACCGTCGGGAAGTGGTAATATTATACTTTCTTCATCTTTCGCCTGGTGGGCTGAATTAGGGTCCACTTTCTTCAAGGTTAGTAACGCATCTGTAGCCCCTCAGTGAGTAAGTCATGGGCGGCGGTCATCGCTGATATAGTTGCTGTATACGAGTTCTCAGTCCTTTATTCGAGTCAATTTATTATGAACGGTGGTTATATAGCCAATTGCCATCTGATATTAATGCCTAGGTAACAGCTAATGATAAATGCCCCAGCTCATTCTAATTAAACTTGCAAAAGAAAATGAGAACAAGACCGCAGAGTTTCTTGCCGGTTCTACTCTGGTCAGGTCTAGTTTAGTTAGCCGGTGGTAGTTTTTTTCTGACTTCCAATAAGAGCTTAAATTAAGCCTGTGTGACTTTGTACAGAGACTATCAAAGTAAGCTCTGCTCAGAGACTATCAAAGTAAGCTCTGCACTGAGACTATCAAATTAAGCTCTGCATTGAGACTATCAAAGTAAACTGCACTAAGACTATCTAAGTAAGCTCTGCACAGAGGCTATCAAAGTAAACTTTGCACTGAGACTATCAAATTAAGCTCTGCATTGAGACTATCAAAGTAAACTGCACTAAGACTATCAAAGTAAGCTCTGCACAGAGGCTATCAAAGTAAACTTTGCACTGAGACTATCAAAGTAAGCTCTGCACAGAGGCTATCAAAGTAAACTTTGCACAGAGACTATCTAAGTAAGCTCTGCACAGAGGCTATCAAAGTAAACTTTGCACAGAGACTATCTAAGTAAGCTCTGCACAGAGGCTATCAAAGTAAACTTTGCACAGAGACTATCTAAGTAAGCTCTGCACAGAGGCTATCAAAGTAAACTTTGCACAGAGACTATCTAAGTAAGCTCTGCACAGAGACTATCTAAAAGCACAACTGTAAACTTTGCACAAGACTATCTAAGTAAGCTCTGCACAGAGGCTATCAAAGTAAACTTTGCACAGAGACTATCTAAGTAAGCTCTGCACAGAGGCTATCAAAGTAAACTGCACAGAGACTATCTAAGTAAGCTCTGCACAGAGGCTATCAAAGTAAACTTTGCACAGAGACTATCTAAGTAAGCTCTGCACAGAGGCTATCAAAGTAAACTGCACTAAGACTATCAAAGTAAGCTCTGCACAGAGGCTATCAAAGTAAACTTTGCACTGAGACTATCAAATTAAGCTCTGCATTGAAACTATCAAAGTAAACTGCACTAAGACTATCAAAGTAAGCTCTGCACAGAGACTATCTAAGTAAGCCGACTGACCCTTGTGAGTTTGTCTGGGTATTGCGCTAGGACGAGGTCGTTGTTGTCGAGGAAGGTCTTGAGGCGCAGCTTGATGGTCTCCTCGTTGTCGTCGGCGCGGCCAGAGCTCGCCGCGCGGCCCAACAGCCGCTTCGTCAGAGTCTCGCACGACGCCTCAAAGTACAGTATCACCTGCAGACAATACACTTTTGAACACGCCTTCATTGGCCTCAATGCATTTGCCTCAGCATAAATGTATCATTAGATGTTTATGTGTAATGTAGATTTGTGTTAAACTTATAACTGTGTTAAGCTTTCACACACCTTTTGTGAATATGAATTTTGCACCGATATAAGAAGCGACGACATTACAATAATTTCACAAATCCGATCTGTTATTCAACACACACAAACAAATAACAAAAAGAATCGTATTGTTAATTGTGTATTAAACTGAAATTATATGGATTTCATTTAGATATTTATCACTTCATATCACATTTGAGAAACCAGTCATCTGTTTATGTTTCAAAAATAAATAGTAGACTTGAGAATAAAAAACATGCGTACAGTGACTGGTGCGATGGAGTTTTCAAAGGCGATTCCCTGCGACTTCTCCCTCGGGTATCCGTCGATGAGGAAGCCTTTGGAGTCGGCGGCGCGTGCCTCTATCGCCTCCTTCAGCAGCTCCAACACCGTCTCATTGGGGACGAGTTCACCTGCGTTAACGTTTACGGATTTCTGTTGATATTAAAGTAGACATACATCCTCCTATAACATTTACAAAAGTTTTTAATAAATTGCAAACTACTTTATTGTACATTTTTTAGTTGCCTTATTAATTAAAACATGATTATAAAATGGATTAGTAGATTATCTTGTGATAAACAAAAGAGAACTAAAAAAAGACAACAGATTTGTCTCTTAAGTCAACTTATGCTGTAATTATCATAATATTATTACTTTCGATGACATTTGATTGCATTATTTTTAATTGCGGGTCACGTTTAATCAGTATGCTTGTTGTTATATTCAGCTAAACATAAAACCAAAGTGCTTTTGATTCGAGATGTTTTTAGTTTTTGTGTACGGTACCGAAAGTTTCACTTTAAGAAGCCACTACATCAGTAAAATCGATACATTGAGATTTGAGGTGCTCCATATAATTTAGACTGCTGAGAACACGAACTATATGTATAAAAAGAACTAATGGGCTTTTCGCTTCTCCAGACACATTATGCGGTCGCCAAAGCAATATATGGAGAAGCGAACATTTTACCCCAATTGGAGTGGCAGGCATGCTCAGGGTCATGCAAGACCATGACAAGCTAACGGCACCTACAAGATGGTCTGACACAGTTATAAAGGAAATGGATGGGGCAGTATGCGTTGTGCGGTCCACACAGGTTATGACCAGGTGTGTCAGCTGTGAGACACCTTAGTAGAACGAAAATCTGTTATTTTACTTTGTTCTATAAGTTTCTAAAGTCTGGCACATTTCAAATCAGTAACAAATTAGAAACATGATTGACGTGCCCGATTATTTCTTAATGGTCCTACCAATAATGCTCTTAGAACTAGAAGTAGAAATAGAAGTCTGTTCTCTAACCGTTAGCACATTTCAATTGGCCATGACTCACCCCGTTCCATGATGGTCGTGAGGCACTTGGCGCGCTCGGAGCCGCTCTTGACCTCCGCCCGAAGCAGATCTCCGGTGGACAGGTGGGTGAAGCCGTACTTCGCTATGATCTTCTCGCATTGAGTGCCCTTGCCGGATCCCGGGCCACCCAGCACCCAGACGATGGGCTTCTCGCTCGTGTCGATGGGGGCCTGGGAAATTCCAGCGTCAGTGATTTTTGCTCATGCTAATTCGAGATAAAAACCAACAGCACCGTATCTGGATGTAATTATACCTCGATCTGAAAAATTTACTGATCAGTTTAATTTATTGGGAAATATCAAATGAGCTGGTAAAAAGGTTACGAAAAGATGTAATGGAAAGAGAACAAATCAAATAAGATTTAGTTTTTCTTTGTCACATAAATAATATCAGACCAAGGATTTTTAACCTCGCCCGGAATCCGTACAAACAAATTAAACTAGGAGATAAAGCAAACGAATTAAAGTTTGCTGCAATTTGTTTCGTGTTGGCAAGGCAGGTTAAAAACTTTATTCGTATTTTTGGTATAATCATTAAATAAAAAATGTTTTGATTTTAGGATAATAAGAAAGATTTAAATGTAATTGATAAATATCGACTGTAATGGGATAAAAATAACCGGCCACTGCTTCAAAGACAATACTGTACATATAAGCAAATAGGTAATAATTTGTTGGTAAAAATAGTTTCCTATTGGATTTGGAAAGTAGCATCGATTACATAATTGAAAATACTTTTTTTTTGTAAGCCGCACACTTCGGCGACATGCACTGCAAAGGACATGGCGGCCTCTTCTCTTCTATGGGCTGTCCACAATGGTGGCAATTATTATCTTCCATGTTCGATTATTTACACATTTGATTTTAACGCAAGTATAAGAAATATTAAATGTCAATAATTGAAATGCCAAAAGCGCAGTTTTGATAGATGTTATCACGTGAATGACAATGAAACTGGTGCCCTACGCGATTCACAGTTATTTTAATAGTTTTAAAATTGTATATTTTTTATCCTAATTACCGTTTTTACTTTTTATCTTTTCATTATTGTTAAGCTTTTGAGCTGTGAATTTACTTTGAATTCATTCATATAACGTGTACTTTGTATTGTGATTTGAGTGGTTTAAATTTGCTAAAAACGAAAGGTGGCATATACTTCGTTCATTCAATTCGTTTAATACTGAATATTATATCTTGCGTTGTTTTTGATTTGCGTGAAAGTGCCTCGTTTAGTTCCTGGATTCATCAGATAAATTGTTATAATTTATACGAAAATCTAACTCCTCTAAACTGCATTCGAACAGAGTAAACGAGATATAAGAATTCAATCAAAGTTGTCGTTATGTGTTCAAAAACACAAAAAATTGATAAGCTGAACGGGATCCTATTGTCAGTGAGCACTGACATAGCACGATTTGGACTTCGTGCATAGAATACCGCATGACTCTCCCCCTACCCGTCTTAGAGTCTTTGATCATACGCAGTGGGAGATGCAGTAGAGATTCTGACGCATCTAGTTTACTTTAAAATCTTGGACGTTTCCCAAAAAATTTTTTTTTCACTTTGATTAAACAAAATGAGTAGCCATGTATCATGCAAATATCTGCAAAAGCAATGTTTGCTTTGACAGACTATAAATAGATTTTTTTAAAAATATGTACAGTAATACATATATATATATATATATATATATATATATATATATATATATATATATATCAATACATATATATATATATATATAATCGGAATCTCGGAACGGCTCCAGCGATTTTCATGAAATTTAGTATGGACGTAGATTCGGGGACGAAAAATCGATTTAGCTAGGTTTCATTTTTAGAAAATGCCCTTTTATCCCTGTTTTCAGGGAATGAAAAATATAATTCGAATATTACGGTAAATTTCGCCGCAAAAGAAAATGTCATAATAGCTCGGTCGGTAATCGGGCGGCCCCAAAACAGACGGCCGTGGTTCGCGTCACGATCATTTACATATTTATTTTTTTACTTTTTTTTCGATTCCATCATTGCTTTCTTTATTTTAAATTTTTTGTCGATTTGTTATTTTGTTATTTTTTTCTCTTTTTTTAAAAGTTCTTTCTTTTGTGAAAAACATCAGTTCACATTTTCTTATTATTACGTCACGTAAGATCGAAAAATATTATGCATATTTCATTACTCAGTAATTTGTATCTAAATGTAATTTCCAAAATACACGATTTACCAAAAAAAAAACAAACCGAGCAAAGCTCGGTCCTCCGGGTACTTATTATTTATGCTAACTGTTGCGCGAGATAAAGCAACCCTTCTCATTGGCCGCAGCAATAAGTCTAGCACGTAAATCTTTCAATAAATTTGAACCGTAAGGCCCTAAGCTTTTAGCAGCTAATGGTACAAATACATTATCTGAACAAAGAGATTCATAACTGCCCCATTTGTTATTTGCTTCTGATGTCACCTCTAAAGTACCCCTTAGATCAGAACCAGTAAAAAGCTCTACGTAAGTAGCATCCCAAGCAAGAAAGTCAGGCCGTCGGGTCCCTTGCCATCATGTTGGAAAATGTCACATATGACGTAGTTTAGGGAACTGTGATAGAAAGATCGGCCAACCCTTTATTGACATGTAGGTAGGACCGTAAATACCATGTTTATATACATTGACACCATGAGAATGTGTAAATCGCTGCATAGTTTGAAACATGGCTTTCTGTAATCTCTGCACAAAGGGAACGTCCTAAAGTTTTTGTTTATTAACTTTCAGTGGAAGATTTTCTTTGGAGCAGATAGATAGGCAAGACATTTTCGACAAAGGGAAGGTCTGAATTGTGATTAGTATATTATTAAAGAGATAAACTTGGGGTATTTCTTATTAGATCGCTATACCGAATCTGCTATACCGTTTTATGTATCATCCGCTTACTATGTGAAATTCGGCGTTTCATAAGAACGCGCCAGCGTCCATTTAAAAAAAAGACATTTTGAATTTGAATTTAATATACAAGCTGACAAATAATAAAAACAGAACATATCGCTGAAGACATTTACGCTGACCATGACATGAGTCAAAGCGTTGTTACGGTTTTCAGAAGCGTAACAAATGGGTTCAACCTTCAATTGAATGTTACAGCAACATTCGCCTCGCTCGCCACCGACCTCACGCCTTGGCACTTGGCAACGAAACGTTGAACCGTCACCGTGGTGGCTGGCGACAAATTTCATCAAAAAACAAATCATACATTAGATGAGCAACAACTTGTAACATCACTTTCGCAGTACAAGATTTTTTTGTCAAAATATTATGATGCCATTTAGCGCCAATTTCCGCGCTGTAAGATGCCTTTCCGGTTTTGGGTTTTTGGGTAGCAAAACAAATTAGTTCTACTTCGTGTATCATTACCCTAAAATAGGTATGTTTCAGCTATATCTAGCTTTGTAAGTGATATAATTTAAATAAAATTTATTATGTATCGTTTATAACTACTTTACTGCCCTCGACATTTTGTTTCTGTTCTACCTAGGGTTAGCTGGTAGAGAATGCAATATAGCATTAAACTCGCCTTTGTACAATTTTCTGTGCAATAAAGATTAAAATAATAGTTACCCTAAGGTTATCCTCGAGGTGGTAAGGTCATGATATTTTTTTCTTAAAAAAAAAAAAAACATTCGTTGTACGACCGCCGATAGTATGCGGCCGGCTGAATGCTATTTCAGTCGCGTATAACGGAACGCTACTGTTCATTACCAATGTAGATTCAATTCGAGAAAAACAAGCGTGCTAACGCTCTGTAATTTCGAATATTTTGAATCCGAAATAATCTCACAGTGTTCTATGTCTCACGGGCAACATAAAGTGAATTCTACCAACAATTATAGATAGCTAAACAATAAATGATCAATTGAGTATACAGGCGTGATCTTAATTATTGGTTGTTTGGCGAGTCGACCTACCCAATTTAATTCTCAAGGTTCTTCAATTCCACATAATTCAAATGCTAATATAAAATGTTTTTGTCTTTTAAATAATTTAGTCTTTTGATTAAAGTGGGCACCGCATACCTCACTCAAGAGAATAAACGCAGAAGACAATCGCTGGTCTTCTTTGAGTTCATTGGACTTCCCCAGACGGACCTGCCTACTTGTGCAACAGCGAAGATTGTTGCGTGGCCCTACCACAGCTTAGAATTTTGCTTTCTCAAAACTGCCTCAGTGCCATAGGAGTTAGGAATATTAGTTATTAGCTGCATCCCGCGCCTACGTCTGCGTCGAATAGGCTGAAGGCGTAACATTCAGACAGAAAGACAGATATTTTCAATCCAGACAAACAATCTAGTAAAAAGAAGACAAGTCTTCTATGAAATCATGAAGCCTAATTTGTAGAAATTTAAATATTAAACGCCTTAGATATATACGTAGATACGTATATTTGTATATTTATAATTATAGTTTATACGTATATTTAGAGTTTCACCTTCAAATAACAAAATAACGCGTATTAATCTATAAATATACATTAAAATATCAAGAACAATGCCAATAAAGCAACGCCTACGAACCACGTAACCGTTGTCAACTGCTTGTTACCTTCAACAACGCTCCCCGTTGGGACCACCTCAGCTCGAGATAAGCAAACACGAACACTATGGCGTAAAGCAGTCTACATTTCGGGAAGACCTCGTCTTGACGGCACTCTCTCATTTAATCGTGCACTAAACTGAAGGTCGCGACGTCCGTACGAATATTGTACGTGCCAACAAGCCGAGAGCTCCGTGGGACGAATTGGGAGCTTACTGGAACAGTTTGGAGCGAAATAGAAGCTTTTATAGACGCACCCCTCTACGTACATGCGTCGAATTTTACAGCTGCAAGTATTTATTTTGTACAACATTAGGTAGCCAGTTATAAAATGCTACGTGTTTAGGGCGTAGGTGGGAACAGATTAAAGAAATACCGTAATATTGTGACCGCCTGATGCCTTGTACACTTATTAAGTTATTTTTTTTTAAGTTAGAAAAGAGCTGGCGGCTCACCTGATGTTAACAGCCTTCCACGGACATTTGCAACACTAGTATGCGGACGCGTTGCCACCTAAGTGGGCCCCGTCTGGACCTTACTCGCTAGACAAAACTGGTCGGACCTGCCAATTTGTGCAGCAGCGAAGACTATTGCGTGGCCCTGCCACGGTCAATAATCTTATTGTAGTTGTATACTCGTAAATCGTTCACGTCCCTTATATTATCACAGTGATGTCAATTTAGCGGATAATAAGATAATATGAATCCTATTTTCCATGTCCAAGCTGTCGAAAAGGCTTAAATATTCGTGAGAACTTGTCAACTTTTGTTATACAGCTTTTTTAGGCGATGCGCAAACATCTGTTCGTATCATCGATACCGTAATGTCGATCGTATCTGTGTATGTAAAAAACATTTTTGTTTTAATTTATTAGTATTGAATATTGTAATATTTGTACTGTTAATCATTACAATTGCTGTGAAGCTCGAATGAGATCCACTCGTGAAACCGAAGTTGCAAAGCTTTCGACATGTTTGTTCAAAGCAATCAAAATGAAACTCTTAAAGAACTAATACTTGTTGTTTAGTAGCTGTTTATTATAAAAATTGTAAAGTAAATAAATGTAAGCAATACCACTTTTTCATTCATTATAATATCCTATATCTTTAACACGATAATTGACTTGTGAAATATATGAATCATCTGTTTAATTCTGGCAAAATCTCAAAAGAGAACGTTCGTTATTATTGAAAATGTTTTGCTGTGCTTTTACATAGCTTTGCAATACGCATATTTGTCAACTTACAACTTACCCACTAACACTCTCAGGTAAATACTTTTGACCACCGCACAACAAAGTCATACAACTTACGTAATATGATTAAAAATGTTTAATAAACATTGATAAGTAGAACTGTTTAATAAATACGGTTTAGTAAACAGTTTTATGATTTGTTGTGTCTGCATAAATTCTTCAGTTCATTTAATAGAACGGACTTTATTGCCCTTTTTTATCTCGTCGCTCAACTGCCATTTAACCAAAATATAAATAAAATTAAATACATATAAAAGAAATGTTAATAAGCCAGTTATTTATTAAACTCTTTCATTGATATCAGTTCCTAGGACGAAATAGATATTTAAAAATTTACATTTATCCCATATGGTGTCCGAGCTTTATTATTGTATCTTACATAACGTGCGATTCGTAGTGTTTGTATTGATTTTATAAAAATAAAACAGCGCCAAGTTCATGTTGCATTATTACCGTGAACATACGATTAATGACCAATCTATCCCAACGAGATAACGTGAAGAATTGTTATCGGTACGCACACGAATACATTTTTGCAGTTTCTTATCGTTGCACCAAGACACTATTTTACATGATTATTATATTACGATATAAACTATTTTAAAATAAATTTCGGAGTAATTAAAATATATTAAAAAGTTCTCATTAACAAAAAAAAATTAACATTCTTTTTGCATATTTTTTTGATTAACTCAATAAAGATATATGAATCTTTATAGATAAATTACAAATTTTGTTTATTCATTTATAGATCGCATTAGATTCATTAACGTTACTTTTATATAACAAGTCGCGCTTAAAATATAACAGGCATTTTTAAATATAAAACTTCAGTACCCTGCATCTGTTTCTTTATTACTGATAACATGAATCAATTTAATAGTTTATTTAAACACGACACTGAATTTCCAGTTTATTAATACCAAAAGAATTAATAACAATGAATCTTGATTTGTAAACCAAGCCAAAAATAATGTCTATTATTATCATACTGTGACGTAACATTACTGAAACTGAAAATCACTAAGTGTTTCCGAACGGGCATATCGCGTTCCAAGCTAATGTTAAATGAACATCTGATATCGAACTATTATCTAATGAAATTGTATTCGGTTTGTATACTAAAGGTAATCTGTCACTTACCATTTTAATTCAGATCTAGCGCGATATCAGTTGATAAGAGGAGCGGGGGCGGGACAAGCGTTCAGCGCGAGTTTCACGGACTGACTGCGGGCTTGAATGCCGCGCGGTCAAGGCCACGAAAATTGTGCCAGCCCGCCAATAATGCGGGGGCGGCCTCTGACAGCGCGGGAAAGTCGCAGCTTTGTGGCGGGAAAACTGACAGGTATTGTGACTGAAGCAAATACGTATTGATTTGACACAGATAAACACAATTCAAAGTTTGAGTTTTAAATTCTACTCTAAAAAAAAATTAATATCACGTTCAAAAATGAATGTTTTCTCTTAATTTTTTATATTTAGTCAATACGATAAAAAGAAATTGGCAGATTTTCGAAAACTTGTAAGTACCAAAATTTACCTTAATTTTATTTTTTTTTTATTTTTTGGAATTTTCCCTTTTACTTGTGCTGTAAGACCTTGCTTTTAACCAAAATTGACAGTTCTATGTCCACCGGAAGTAACCTATAGGTTTTAGGTCGAAAGTATCCGGTATAAATTTTAACTTGGAAGCAAATTCCATTTTCAATGGTGAACTTGGCGGTGTTGTTTTTTTTTCAATGGGTTTCCACCAAAGTCGTCAAAACATACTTGAACAGACAAAAACATGCTTCTTTACACAAATATTATAACTTAATGAAACATTAAATGAAACTATTTAACGGATTGTATTGCATTTTATTTTGATTATAAATTCCTGAAGTTTAGAACCTTAATGAAAAATTTATTATTAAATTTTGAAATGAAACTATTAAACGGATAAAATCCGTAATAGAGTTTCATTTAAAAATAAATTTTATAAGTTACAATTTCATATTCTGATATTTAGAATCTGTATTATTTAAAACATACACCCAAAAATTATTTTTGTTGACCTGTGTTAGAATTATCAGCGTTATAATGGTTAGGTACAAAACTTGGAACAGCCCTAAATAGTTTAGGACTTTACCTCAAAATTTACTACTGTTGTTTTTTATACCCTTTTCTCCTCCTTTTTTTTAAAGAATACATAATTTATCAATTTACATAAATGATAAAAATTAACTAATCTGGTAAAATGCAGGTACTCGCCCCACTGTGGCTGGTTTCACTTGGTCACTGTGATGGCGTTGCAGGCTTCGAAATTTGTTATCATGCAGAACATGAGCGTTCCTTATGACATATACTTTGCGCTCCCAGAAACGAATATTTACCCATTGTAACTAATTGGAATGGATGTTAGTGAGGATCACTTCTTACGGTTCTGATAATATGAGTTATGAGTAACCAACACATATAGGATATAGAAGATTAAGATAGAAGTTATAATTCTCTTACTCTATGAATTAAAAATAATAATAATTTACACTAGGGTAAAATTGTGAGGGTGAAATCTATCATACTGTAAGTTTGTGAGTCGATCTAGCTTACAATACGGCGTGATGGAGCGTTTGGTTTGTGCACTTTAGGCAACCAAAACATAATTACAATTTAGAAAGTAAAAAAAAGCCCAAAGCCCTTGTTTGGAACGCTACTTGTGTAGACACTTTGGCTGCCTCTCATCTAAGGGGTGATTCGGTGAGGGCTGGGGCGCCATCGGAGGCAGCTGAAGTAAATAGCGCAAATATGCGTCTCTATGTTTAGATTATGTATTTGTGCCATTTGCTGTTGAAACTTTGGGTCCGTGGGGTCCCCGTACATCGATTTTTTTAAAGGTTTATGTCCTAGACTTAACGCGGCGGCTGGTGGCAAGAGAGCTGGTTCTTTTTTCGCTCAAAGGTTAAGCATAACTATCCAACGAGAAAATGCAGCTAGCGTTCTTGGCACCATGCCTCGTGGATTAATTTTATTTGATAATATTATGTAATTTTAGATAGATTTTATATTGTAAATATTGGATTAATAAAAAAAAGATATTTATATGGTTTAACATAAGAAGGTGTCATCGATTTTACGTGCCGTATTATTTTTCGGGGTAATTAGGTCGCTAGTTAATTTAAACGTTACACACAGTAGTAAAACTGAAGAACCTACTGTAGAACTGTTACCACAGCTCAGTACAATAGGTACAGAATACAGACCCACTGTTTTGACCTTTTTATATGTGCTTCCATTCAATAAGAGTACTTTTATTTTCAGAGTGTAATCCGACGTTTTCATGACCACCGTAGCGTTTCCCTTGTCTGCGTGGAATATATTATAGTTATCCTTTGTTGTTGCGTAAGTTTGTTTAACGCCTTAAATTCGTCATTAGGAAAGCTAGATTTCGGCACCGAACTTGAACGCAACACAGACGACTTTGATGTTGTTTTATGCAGACAGTTCTTGACACTGCAAATTGTATGCCCGTAGGGGAACCATCATGCTATGAATTTTATATAAGAAAGATTTGGAGTTAGAATTATAAATGGACGCTATAAATCCGTAAAAATATTTGCCCGCGTGAACATAACAAATTTAAACTTTTTACTGATTAAATGAAACCAAATTTTTTACTGTTCCTCATTGCATCAAATGAGAAAATTTACTTTTCGAGTAATTATGTATTAAAAATTATTATTTTAGATATTTCTGGGAGTAGTAGGATGGAATAACAAAAAAAAGATATAAATGAAAAAGATTGAATGAAATAGTTTTTTTTAAAAAAGTGCTCATTTATTTTAAAAAATAACAAGTACCTACATGGTTTCTACTTTACAATTAAGTTTAATATTAATAATTTATAAGTCAAGTTCCTTAACTATAAAAGTAATTTCCAAATAATATGTTCATGGCCGATGTTGGTCCAAGAACTTTATGATTCGGTACGCAATAGAATTGTCGTTTACCTGACTGGAGCCGTGATAGCTCAGTGTCCGGGCGAGCGCCCGGGCGCTCGCCTTTAGTTCAATATACTCGAGCAACCTGAGTTCGATCCCCGGTGCCGGCACCAATGAAGTTTTTAACTTTAAGTGCTGACTTATCACGTGCTCCGCGGTGAAGGAAAACATCGTCAGGAAACCTGCATATTTTTCGAAATAATAACAAAAAAATATATATATTTCGAAGATATGTGAAGTCCGCCAATCCGCAGTGGGGCCGCGTGGACTATGCCCTGATACCCTCTGTATAGAAGAGGCCTTTGCCCAGCAGTGGGACATGTATAGGCTGTTACTTACCTGAATCGTATAGTAAACAGTTAATTGCGGTCGTCTACATAAATACTTATAATCATTCACTTTTAACTATAAAACTTTTTTTCGTATACATTTTTATTAATTGAATTGTGTCTGTAATATTATTCTCATTTTCGTATGTTAACAACAAGGTTCAATAGTTAAATTAAATAAGTTAAAACAAACTGCATATTCGGCGGTTAAATTGTTAAGTAATTTTTTTTCCAAGTAAGTAAGTAATAATTCTTAAGTTAGTTGTTGAAAACAGCTTGAAATATATACTTTATTTTTGCATATGTTGTACATGCTTATTTTTTCAACATTTAGGATATTAAGACGTCGCTTACCAAATAAGTTGACATAATAATTAAATACTGATAAAGCTATGTTATAACTACTAACTACAGTATAAAGGTATATCGTGAAAATTATACTTAAAATGTTTTTAATTTACTACGTCTAATTCTAAATTGGCCCCGATATTGTGGTAAGTATATATAAATAGAATGTGTTTATTCTATAGTAACTATGTCTACTTCATTGACATTTATTCAATTAAGATTTTCATTATTTACATAGTGAACATAATATATTGTGCAGTGTACTCTAAATTTGGATTGTGCCTCGAATATTAATTGCTAATTTATACTTTTCTATGTTTAAATAGATGACTCCGTGGCGCGGTTGCCAAGTTATTGGCTTCGGCGTCGGGGGTCGTGGGTTCGATTCCCACACGGGACGACAATTTGTGCGACCCACAGATAGTTGTTTCGCATCTGGCTGTTTGTCCTCGTGCAATTTATGTTTGTAAAACGTCCTTACAACACAGGATAATGTTATGCTAAAGTGAGAGCAATGTTTCTTAAAAGAAAAAATAGATATCGATATCAGAAGATTGATAAGCACTTAGTTTTTCTGGAAAGTCTACCCCAGCTACATTTCTATACATCTCGTACGTACCCGTTAAGCTAAGCACCCGTCATATTGTGCGTACAGCGTTTATAAAACGTCCGAAACCATTATTTTAAAATATAGTCTTAAAATTGTCTAAGCTAAGTGCAATTATAATTTATTTTACAACGTATCGATAGAAGTGATATCGTGCTTCAGCACTAGCCAACTCGAAATAAAAATAACTAGAACAAACTTAATACCACTATTTTAGCTCTTACAAATTATATAATGAAATACCGCATTTTTTTATATTACATAAAAGTGTTAACAAATTAGTTAAATTTAATCATCATAATAACTAATATACAAAATAGTTTTTTTTTTTATGTGATAAGTTGCCAAACGAGCAGACGGTTCATCTGATGTTAAGTGAATACCGCCGCCCATGGACATCTGCTGCACCCGAAGGTTACAGAGGCGTTAACAACCTTTTGAAAATTGGGCTCCGGCTACCAGTATATTAAAAAACTTATTAATTCTAACAAGTGATCGCATCTTTCAATAGAATTGTTAATTTGTGTTACTTTATAATTTCGATACTATGTCTTTTTTATAATGTCACCACAAACACAAAAATGTCTCTCGAAATTAATAAGACTTAAGATAGAAGATACTTTACATGTATCATAAATGTCTGATGTGATAATAATCTACGTATATGTAAATCTAATGAAATGTAAATGTGCTTTTTCTTAGTTACGTTAACGCTACTATAATTTAATATCTACGTGTACTTACGTTAATTATTATAAAAACTATCGATTTAGGCACATTTCGTATGATCTCATTGTTGAACAATTTGATTTCAGGTACGTATTACATTATTATGTGTTAATGTTGGGATGCAAAGAGCAAAGAGCACATCGATCGGAAATAGACTTCGTGGGAGACAAAGGAAATAGAAATTTAACTCAAGCGGGAGTCGTTTAGAGATTAAATTGTAAGTTACAAGTTGAAAGAAATGACGTGTTTTAATGATTTTTGTGAAATTATTGCAAGTAACTTGCATTTTAAACGGGAATAAAAACTATGTACTGGACGTCGAGTCATCTTAAGTAAAGAAAAAGAATCTAACATCTTATAGGATTATTATCATTTAGACTATAAAAATTATAAATAAACATACTGAAATACTCTGGAATCTGTAATAAACTACAATTATAAAAATATGTTTTCTTATCAATATTATACATAATATTTACATAGATATGTTTATATATATAATCACATATTATTCGTGTTAATCAATGTACCTTTTCATTGTCATTTCGACTATATTTATAGATTTGTATTCATTTAAGTGTCATTATTGATTTTCTACTTATAGCGTTCACGAACACAATTCTAGTTTTAAGTTTTCAAAGAATATTGGGTTTTCTTCAATATATACATTATATAAAATATACATTGTTTCAAAGGTAATTAATTACTTGTTATACTGTTGCTTTACAATAAACGTTACAATTATTGCTAATAACATAATATATTACATATAAAATGTTTGTAACAAAACTTCTTTCTATTCCCCAAAGGACTGTTTATAGAACGAAAGCTCAGAAACTTACCAAAAAGACTATTTTGACACTGAGCTAAAAATAGCGAATTATTTATATTTTTGTATTAAAATAAATCATTTCTTATGTGGCTAGGTAGCAAGCATCGAGTTCAATAGATGCTAAGTTTTAACCACCGCGCCTGCCTACAACTGCTGTTGCAGTTGCGTTGTCTACCTTTAAAGGAAAGTGACATCACTAAAAGCAGATCTACAGTATTTCCACTTTACTATTTTGCCACTAGTACCGTGCTGAAACTAAATCTAGAGCAAACCAAACGATTGTTTGATAAAGTAAAAATATTGTTTATCTATTTTCATAAGATAATTTTGAATTTTCAATTGAAATAGCTCCTATGTTTCTTATTCAGTTACAGGTTAAACAATATGTTATGATGATATTATCGGATTATATATGATTCGAATTGAGGGAAACCTCCCGTGGGTGCTGCCGGTACAGTCTGTTCACGTCGTCCTGCGTCATCTGCGAGATGGTCGGTATCTTGGGCGCGTTGTTCACTATCGGTTTAATCTGTGACGAGAAATTGATGAAAATTTTTAAGAGACTCACTTCAATTAGCTTTCATTTTTTTAGCATGTTATATAAACTTTTACTTTATCAGTGCCTTTAATTGTATGACACTAACGAACACTTAATGTGATGTACGTTGGCGTTCATTAAATAAATGAATAAACAATTGTATGGAAGCATAGCAAAGTGTAGATAAGGATATCCTTGAATACATTTTTCACACCCCGGGCTTTTTTAAAATGGTCAAAGTAACAGATTAACGTTGTAATGGATTAAAAATTTAATACGAGACAGAGTCAATTTAATCTCAAAAGCCTTGGGTCTTAGTTTTTGTTATAAGATAAAACTTTTACCTGATGTAAAGATAACCACTACAAATAGACATCTGCACCACACGTGAGCTAGCAGATGCAATGCCAAGTTTTAAAAAAGTGAGACCTGGCTACCTCACTCACCAGACGAGACGCAAACGTCATCCACTTCACGACGGTCTTCTGCTGAAGTCGTGGTACCTCCCCAGGCCTGCCCATTTGTGCAACAGCGAAAAGCAGCGAGCTTATAACCACAGTATATATTGATATTGCATAGTGGTAGGGCCCTCAGCGGATTGAGTTCCTCCCCGAAAAAGAAACGTTTTTTTATGTGAGAAAGGGGCAAACGAGCTGGTGGTTCACCCCGATGTTAAGCGATAACCGCCACCCGAGGGATGCAGATGCGTTGCCACCATTTACTAAAGTGGGCCCCGGCTACCTCACTCACCAGACGAAACGCAGAAGTATGACACTTCCACTTCACGCCGGTCTTCTGTGAGGTCGTGGTACTTACCCCGTAAGAGGGGCAGGTTCGCCCCTGCCCCTCTTTTTACCTTTATCGGATAATGTTTGTGCAACGACCTCAGGGTTCTGTTCTGTAAAGTCTTTTCTTTACTAATGGGTCGATACATATAGGGCACTGTCTTGGCAGTCAGCCGCACCTTGTTGTTGCCAACGAAGCCGTTGAGAGCGGTTCCGTTGTGCAGAGGCCCGGTTCCGTTTGCCAGGCCGTTGGCGGCACGATGTTGCAGAGCGCTGGACTCTGCAACAATGTAATGGGCTTGATATACCACTCATAAAACATTCATCATCATCCTCCTTCTCTTATCTTACCTCATCATCCTCCTGCTCTTATTCCACCAACGTGGGGACGGCATAATAGGTAAATCATGTTGTAAGCGGTTTTCTTTATGTCTGTTTTAGAAAAAAGTAGAAGAAACTAAAACTATTTACCGTTTACATATACCTATAATTGTTAAAGCGATTATGACCATGATTTTTTTTTATGTGAAAAGTTGCCAAACGAGCAGACGGTTCACCTGATGGTAAGTGAATACCGCCGCCCATCGATATCTGCTATACCCGGGGGTTACAGATGCGTTGACAACCTTTTGAAAATTGGGCTCCGGCTACCTCACTCACCAGACGAAACGCGAAAGTATTTGTCATACTTCCACTTTACGCTGGATTACCAAGATTTAAATAAATAAATATAGATCATCATCTTCGTCCCCTTTGCAGCCCTTATCCCACCTAGGTGGGATTGGCACATGTAAATGATATTGTAAGCGGTTTTTGTTGTGGCGGATTTTTAGGACCGGCCGCCTGACCGACGTCAACTCTCCTTGGGAAACAAAACAGCTGGAAAGGCTAAGGTTACCCTTGACAAGTTTTTGCCTTCATATTTTTCAACCGACTTTAAAAATGATGAGGTTTACGATTTCGTTGCATTTTTTTTGTTTTTTATCTCAGAATTGTGTAATTTACAAAACGATTTGGACAGTTCAATTTTTGTTGGAATGAAGATATTTTCTAGGGGTTCCATTTTAATTCCGTACGCATCAGACCTTGAATATCAAATGTATATCAGAGAACTGTTTAAATCGAATAGGTGTAATAATATTCAGACTTTAAATATAGAGATATTTAAAGTCTGATTATTAAGTTATTATTTCTATGAATTAAATTTTTTTATGTGACTAGTAGCAAGTAGTTCAAACAATTTTACGATCAGGTATTTCATGTATTTTAATCATTATGCAAGTTTGAAGTCCGACTGAATATAAAAGGAAGGCCATTTAACAGAAATTCACTGTCAATCCCATAACGTGACAGATGATGTATTAGTCAATGCCAGACATTTGCGAGGCAGTGATCTTGGCAAGGAAGAAACAATAATATTTTTAGATCGGAAATGTATCCATTGACTTGGTGGCGCAGTTGATAAGCTATTGGCTTTCGTGCCGTAGGTCGTGTGTTCGATTCTCGCACAGAACAATTATTCGTTTGGCTCACAGGCAATTGCTCAGTTTTATGTGTTTGATTCTGTGAAATTTATGTAGGTACAACTTTATCATAATGCAGTATAATATTATACTACAGAAAGGTCAACAGTTTAAAAAAATCTAGAGAACCACTGTCTGTTATAAACTTTATCGAGGAAAAATTGAAGTGGCGGAATCGAAACACGAGAAAACCCACGATTTCCCAAGTTTAGCTTACCCGTAGTGTGCTCGATCTGTGCGCGCGACTGTACACTCGCATGCGTCACTTCCGCTCCGTCAGGTGGCATCTCGGCAATCGCTTCCGCTTTCTCCATCTCTTCTAGCAGGACCCGTGTGAACTCCTCCTGCACTTCTGGCGAGTCCGTGTCACCGTCGACCTAAAATGGTAACAGCAATTTCCACTAAACGAAATAAAAATAAAATAAAGTCGATATGATTTCCTTTTTCTTCCTTCAATTTTGGTTCATTGTGTTTTCAGGGTTCCGTACCTTAAAAGGTAAAAAAGGAACCCTTATAAGATCACTTTCTTTTCCGTCTGTCTGTCCGTGTGTCACCACCAATTTTCTATATTAGCTTATTTAACAATTTTATTATGGCGGTATAATGGGTAGGTACGGAACCCTCGACCGTGCGTCGAGGGTTCCGTTTGACTCGTACTTGATCGGTTTTTATTTTTTTTTATTTACAGATACCTGAGTTTCCGTGCGCTCGCCTTTAATTCAATATACTCGATTAATCTGAGTTCGATCCTCGGTGCAGGCACCAATGAAATTGTTAATTTTAAGTGCTGACGTATCCCGTGTTCAGCGGTGAAGGAAAAAGTCGCGAGGAAACCTGCATATTTTAGAAATATGAACAAAGAAGTAGTTCCGAAGGAATGTGAAGTCCGTCAATCCGCAGCGGGGTCGCATGATGGATACCCTATATACAGAGGAGGCCTTTGCCCAGCAGTGGGACATATAATAGGCTGTTACATTACTCTCCGCATTAACACGCCCTCTGGTGTAGCAAAACCCGAGGGTGAACGTGATCGCTTACCCGAACAGCATCTATTCGTTCACTCTTCAATAAAGCAACACTACTCACTATGACGAGTCTGTGTTGCTGGTCGAGGGTCTTGAGCATGGGGAGGCTGAGCTCGCGGAACACCTCCAGACGGCGTCTGAAGGCCGCCACCGAGTCGTCGCGCCGGCCTCTCCCCAGCTGCAGCTTGGAGCAGTCCAGCAAAACCATGCGGGGCGCCACGCGGAACTGTCATGTACGTTCAAGTTTCTTTATTTGCTGATAAATAGGTACAGAAAATATTTTGGTCTTGTTATCTTGTTGTTTTGACAAATGTCAAGCTAACCTATTTAGCTGTTTTGAACAGCATGCAAATGTCCAGAAGATATATTTTTATAATACAGTTGTCTAATATGTTTAATAATGTTTTTTTTTTGTTCCGAAACAAATGCTCAATAAGTTACGGATGCCTTTAAAATAAGGAGTATATTTTTAAGTTTTCACTCGTCCTTGGAGATATATTTTTTTATTTATTTTATTTATACTTTATTGCAACCTTTAAATAAAAAGGATTACAAAGGGCGAACTTAATGCCTTTTGGCATTCTCTCCCAGTCAACCCGGGGCGTGGTGAGAAATCGTGGTAGGTGCAATTATTACATTAATAAATATTTATAATAATAATTATATATTAAATATTTATATGTATTACGATATAATTACTTAAACATACATACATAATATATATATATATACATATATATATACATACACATCTACACACATAAATATATATAATCATACAAACGATAGTGGCACAAGGATAACATCAACATTATAGGTTATAAGGGGTCATTTAGAAATAAATCACGGACCAAACGTTTGAATGATGTCCTATTAGGGGCTCTACGTATGTCATCAGGCAAGAAGTTCCAGAGGAGTGTAGCCTGAACAGTGAAAGAATTACTGAAGAAACTGGTATTATGTGAAGGGATAGTAATCTTTAGATTAGCTGAGGAACGGAGATCTCTTTCATTGTTCAGCGAGAGGTATTTAAATTTATCTTTAAGATAATACGGAGTAGCAGGATCATTTACGATCGAGAAAAGAGTAAAGAGAATTCTAGAGCTACACCTTTGTTTAATTGTTAGCCATTTGAGGCGAGAACGATAAGGAGTAATATGGTCATATTTTCGAAGGTCAAAAATGTATCTAATGCAGTTGTTAGAGAGGCGCTCTAGCTTGTTAAGAAGGTCGCCTGTTTCTCTTGATCTCATCACCATATGACGTTGAGGGAGAATGCTGATGTCGACCGTTCCCAGTTTGACTGTCCTTGGAGGATGTATGCATCGTTAGAGTTCCTTTCATACCTTCAATGGCTTTGGTGGAGTTAGACAACGTTTCAGAAGGGAATTTTATAATGAGACTATCCAGTTCATCCTGTGTAGAGATCTTCGCTCGACCTTCAGGGTGCTTAATATAAATAATACCATTCAAGGGACCAAACATTTTTCAAGCCAAAGTGGTTCCGTGCATCTTTGTAAACAGTTTGCCTGCTTCTTGTCAAGAATTCACTGACAGAAGACGAAGACCCTTTCAATTTTGATTTAGTTTTCCAAACCTTGGTCTTAATTTTATGGTCATAGAAGTACACAACAAGAGGCCTTGGCTGGCTGCCATGTTTAACACCAAGCCTGAAGCATTTTTTAATAGAAGAGTTGTTAATGTCTGAAAGTCCCATCTTATCATGCAACAATGACAATAACTTTTGCTCTGGATCATCATTTTGGGACTCCGGCACTCCATTGAAAAGTAGTGCTTTTCGTCGATTGTGCATGTTGATAGCATCTATGTTTGTGACATACTGTCGAATCTGCTGTTGCATAAGGCTGAGCAATGAACTTACAACTTCCTTGAAATTCAAGTATTCATCCCGAAGCTGGACAATTGTGGGGCTGCTTGGAGTGAATGCAGTCTTCAGCCGTTCCTCAAATTCTGACATCTTATGCATTAAACCCCCTTCAAGCTCTTTTTGCATGTGTTCCACTTCAGGAAGTTTAGCCATTGTTGTTTTTAAGTAAAGACAGTATTGTTTATTTTAGTGCAGAATAGGTTATGGAGGGATGGAGAATTAAGTAAGCAAATTTATTTAAATAGCCATATCTATTATATAAACTATTAGAGCTTTAGATTATAATTGGGATTAATGTTAAATTTATAATGAAACTGTTATTATATTGTAAATCGTGATAGGAAACAATAAAAAAGTACGTTAATGATGTATAAAGTCTGCTGATACTAATAAGCAACGCCCGACGTCCTGACGTATTTTGGTTAAATAAGGCTTTACAAAGCGGGTCTGATCTATTATTTTTCTATGCTATAACTTCTCGTGATAATATGAAAGAAGTCAAATACAAAAATAACCAAGCACTTAAATACCAAGTAATCTGTGTTTTCAGTAGAGTCAACGTCATCAAGTCTTTAAAATTTGGCATGAAGCTACCTCTTTCTGAAACGCGTCCAGCTGTTCCAGGTCGCGCGGGTACCCGTCAAGAACGAGGCCGTGGCCGCTGCGCACCGCATCGCCGGTTGCCGAGCGCACCAAGCGCGCGACAAGCTCGGCGGCGACGAGCTCACCGCCACCGACGGCAGCGCGGGAGAGCGCGCCGTCAGATGCCGGCCCACCGCCCGAGTCTGCCAGTGCCCGCAGGCGCTGACCCAAACTGGGGAAAAACCCTCAAGTTATGAATTATCAGCAATAAATGCCTCCCGTGGCCCCGGCTGATGAGACAGAGACAGGTGCAACGTGGGTTTTTTTGGTGGGCCCCTCCTACCCCCGTTTTTTTCCCACGTAAAAAATAGGAGTATTTACGGTTGCTACGCTTGTTCATGCCACAGCGTCCGACCCGGTGGCAGGGGATCATAAAGGGTTTTTCCCACGTAAAAAATAGGAGTATTTACGGTTGCTACGCTTGTTCATGCCACAGCGTCTGAAAGGATTTTAATGAAATAACAAAGAGTAATAGCAAATGCATTAGAACTTCCGGGTTCACTGGTAGAGAATGCCAATAGGCATTTTATTATGTATTAAGTCCCCCCCCCCCCCCCCCCCCCCTACAGCCCCTATTTGAGGTGTATTTAATAGAGTATTAATAAAAACAAAAAATAAAATAAATCACGCGGGCAATGATGTGGGACAAAAATATTTAAGCTACACCGTAAATCACCTCACGATCTAAGGTTCTTATCGAAATGGTCGGCACCAAAGATTTCTTTTAGAACCCAGTGATCATACCGCACTCAACGGGTTGGAACTGCTCATCTTAGGTAGTGATGTCACAGTCACTAATTCACCAATTATTTGCAAATATTTGGCACCAACCTGAAATGCGTCCAGCCCTGACGCTGGGCCACCGCCTTTTGACATAGTTGCGCTTTGTTGCTACCAGGGCCGCCAACCACCCAGAGAATTGCTGGTCGCGTTGGTGCTCCGCGCACCTTTATCACTTCCGCCTGTTATTCGAACATGATATGTTGTATATATTCTTATATATGCATATAAACTCCTACCTACTTGTCAATCAAAGGGCTAGGGAGATATTAAGTATTTCCAATTTTTTCTGTTCCTTGCACTCCTGTTTTATCTCATTCTCTTTGGATCTCTTTTACATCTTCACATTCACGAACATTGGATACGGGTAATTTTAAGCATCCACAATATACTCCCAACCCCCATAACATACACGATACTTACGTACATACATATATAACACACCACATACAAACATACCCCTGCATAAGACGTCATCTGGTAACTTTTCTACTTTACTACCCGTAAAAAGCACTTTCATCTCTGTCATCCGTTATGATAAAAAATGTTTTATTTTTAACATGAAACCGATGAAAATTGTCCCAAAAAGGACCTGTTTATCTAATACGTGATTTTTTACTTCTTTTAAGGTTTATATAATGTTATTTTGTCCTGTATTTCATTAAAAAATAAAACTGGTTTCATTACAAAAGTCCAATAGGGGATTGAACTCGCAACCCTCGCCTTAAAGTGCACAGTGCACTGTCTATATAATCTAAAATGCCACGTACGTAACCATTAATATAAATATATGCACGCATAACTTATTAGTACTGTATAACAATGTAATTGTTTGAGAAAAAAAATGACAGTAAAGAGGATACCTACGGAGTTTCTTTCGCCTGTTTCTTCTCCGTTAGAGGAACCTCATTACGAAACGGTGGTGTAGATTTAAAAAATGACTATCGATAAATGAAGTGTATATTTCTTATTTCGACGAATAAATGATTTGATTTTGATTTGAGTATTCTTAATGAACAAAGTTAAAACATAGTGCAATATAGTTACAATATCTTATGTTTTAATAATAAAAATTTATTTAAAATTCGCTTTGGTTGAAACGCTTCTTCTTGTTACTTCTTACATAATAGATTTAAATATATTGGTATATGTAGTATAAATTGACTAATGAAACTTGTTTCAGAATCGAAGATCGAACTAAATTAAGGGCTTATTAACAAATCTTCAAAAGCCTGGGGTAATAATGACAACAGTATAATAATAATAATAAAGCTTTATTTATTAAAACATGTAGAAAAAGTACGAAAAGATCGTCGCCGCTGTGGGAATCGAACCCACGTCTTCGGCATTCGCGGCCTGACGCTCTAGCCACTGAGCTAAACGGCTGATAACCACAGCGATGAAAATCTTAACGCCTTCTTTCTATATTGTTATTAAGCATTTCAAGCTTTATTTAAACAAATAGTAGAGAACAAAAACATCATTTACAGTATTAAGCACAGTAAGTACGTTTATAAATCGTGTTCACATTTGCATACTGAACCCTGCACTAGGTAGTAACCTGTTTCGCAGGGATCAAATTGTCGATTAGCTAATTAGGATTATAACATTAGTTTCACATCATTATTTAATTAATTAAAAGTTGGAAGAAGTATGTGTTTTTTTATATATTTAGAATATAGGTGTATTATTATGTGTAATATATTGATATTGTTTTGTTAGTGTGCGTGGTGGAGTCATTTTGCTGATCTAAGTATGTAAATCGCCTAAATACCACTCGTGGTATATATATGGTGCAAATGATTTAAAACATTAGGAATTTATTTTCGTGAAACGATTATTTTTAAGGTAAAATTCGACGGTAAAAAAACGGATACGGAAAAAAATAGCCCGCTGAGTTTGTCTCGCCGGTTCTTCGGCTTTCTTTTCCGAACCTGCGGTAGTATTTTGACTATCAATAACTGAGTGTAATGCTCATATGTTGAATAAAGATATTTGAATTTGAATTTGGTAATATCTCTTCATTATTATTATCAAAGTCAAAGTATATTTATTCAAAATAGGCCTAACCTAAGCTCTTATTGAACGTTAAATAAAATCTACCACCGGTTCACTAAACTAGACCTGCACAGAGAAGAATCAAGAAACTCTGCGGTCTTGTTCTTTTTGTTATTTTTTTTTTTTGATGCAATTATAAACACTTATTTAGGTATAAAATCAGCAGCAGCCAGGGGTCTTGTAAGTGCAGAGCAAGAGTCATTTCCGAACATCCTTGTCCTCAATGTATTCTTGGACATTATAGTAGGCCCTTGCTATTAAGATAGCTTTTACAAATTGTTTGAAATTGTTTATACTTAGTTGTTTGTGGATATCACCTATTTTATTATAAAAGTTGATGCATCTACCAAGAAACGACTTTCTGGTTTTAGCCAATCTAAACTTCGGTACTCCTAGAGTGTCACCACGGCCCCGACGCGATGTCCACATCGTTTTGTTTTATAATATATTCAATATATTCAATATCCCAATATCTTAACATTATAACACATTAAAATGTTTATAGTCATAATATTCCAGTCAAGGTGCTCCATACGACCTCCGTTGACAGCAGACTTGCAAACAAGTCACCCACCGGGGGTAAGTTATGACTAGTCAACGCTTGATAAATATTTGAGTCACGCTGTTGAAAACCTATACGTTGTGCGCCGATCGATATTAAAGCAATTATTTTATCAATAGATTCGATGGTGCCAAATTGTGGCATACCGTGTGTTGAGTTGTGAAATGGTACTTAAGTATTATTAGTTATATTTTATTAGTTTTCATTATAGACCATTTAAGTCAACCTAGTACTAATAGTCGCTACGTAATATTTCATTATTAATATAAAGAGATCATACAAAGATATCATTTGTCCAAAGTGTGGACATATTTATGACACGTTAAAGATTAATAGACAACATAACTGAACAAGTCGCATGTCAAAGAAAATCTCTGCATCGTAAAGTGTCTAAGATCCACTTTATATCACAGCATCATAATAGTTATTTCCGGATAACGAATAACGAAAATACAATATACTTCTTGCTAGATCTTTAACGGTCTGACTGAAATCTGGTGGTGTTTTCATAGATTTGTTGCTAGTTAATGAACATAAGGATTTCTTGAGCCTCCTCAAATAGCACATATTGTTTAAAAAAAATCTTTAGTTCAAAAAAGTTCTTTTTTTTTTTTCTTTCGTGTTTAATTTTAGTAATAGCCGACGTTTGAAGCACTTTAGTCCATGGTCATAGGTTAGGCCAACATATTTTACATTTTTTGGGTTCCGTACCATAAAAGGTAAAGTATCACCATAAAAGGTAAAGTATTAGATATTATAAGAATTAATATTATGAATTATTTGATCCCAAGTTTAGAAAGAGTACATGCAATATTATTAACAAAACAAAGATCCTAAATCATTACTGTATCGATTCAATAATGAATAATTTATCTATTTATTTAGTTATTCATCGTCTCCTTTATCATAAATAAGTGCAGATGATATTAGATACATTGATTTACCTTTTAGAAAAAAAATTTAATTGATTGACGTCATAATATTAGTATTACAAATTCCTTTTAATCAGACTATTCATTGCTATGATACAGACACAGTGTCACCTATCGAAATAGCGAGAACACTGTCTAGCAAACTAATGTCGATAAAAGAGCTCCGTGTTCTGAGAAATTATGTGATAACAACCGAACAGAGATGTTCTGAAGGATGACAATAATGAAGAATGAAAATGAAAGAGAAAAAGGACAGAGAGAATATCATCTGACGGGCATCATTCAGTCATAAACTACGCAAAGTCATCAGAATACTACAAAGGTAATAGATGACATATCATGTCATGATATCTCACAAACCTTCGGGCTAGCAAGTCTGTGTGCGATTCCGTTGACAGGCATTACGACTGGCACCGCGGCCGGGGAGGGCTCATCCGCTAGCTCCACCTCTCCATCTCTTCCTCGGGTGTGTGTCCTGGGAGGGAGAAGGCTGGTCTCCCTCTCGCGACCCCTTAGGTCCCTCTCACGAGCCCTGGCCGGCGCAGGCTCCACGCCCACGATCTCCCCGGGAATCCCGTCGGCGCCCACCCCACTCACACCGTTCAGGTTTAGTCAACGCATCTGGAACCCTCGGGTGTAGCAGATGTCCATGATCGGCGGTATTCCCTTAACATCAGGTGAACCGCCAGCTCGCTTGGCAACTTTTCACATAAAAAAAATATAGGTATGTCCATTTGCATGTTTAGTGAAGGCACGATATCTTCTAAATATACTAATCTGTCATCAAAATATATCTCACGATTAAACCATGACGCTAGATGTACAATAATGTAATACTCATTGATCAAGAAGTTTGTATAAATATGCTAAGTTTTTTTGTCTCTTAAACCTTTGACATTTTGTAATACGTTAAGAATCAATGTACGTAGCTACTTACTCAAATACAACAGTGCCATGCCACCTTATCTAAGGTGTATAAAGTATTTAATATCATGTTACTGACGAAGATCGAATAAAAGTTAGTGTTCCTACGTACTGGAATTCATCAGCTACGAACTGAAGCAGACTCATGGCTTATTACTTAGCTTTGTTCATGGACCGCGTAGTGCTCAGACTTCACAAACCTTTGGCATATTTTCAGTATTCATTGAACGAAGATTTATGAACTTTTTAAGTGACGTTCTTTCACTGCTGTCGTAAATTTACACGAGAAATTGCAATCAACAACTTCATTGTTGTCAGAACCGTGATTTGATCTAGTTTTCTCGAGTATAAAACCGAGCGCCAGACCTCTGGGCAACCACGGTTGGGCCGATCCATAAGACCACAATAAATCTCCTATGTGGAATGTGGATATCAGTGGTCGTTGGGACTTACTGCCCCGCCCTTCACGAATCAAGGGGCGATCCATGGGAGAAGGAAAGTGTTCTACTTAGCTTAGGCAGTTTTAGGTGAATCCATGCAGCAGATAAGGAGCACGAATAGAGGTACTCATCCATATTTATCACGGCCTAAGAGAACGATAGAAAATAGTATAGGTCTTCTCTTAAAAGGTGTGAAGTGAGTGTTATTATTTTGCGTTTCATCTGGTGAGTGATTTATCGTACAAATATATTTGTCACGCTATAATTTTGTTCGTTTGTGCACAGGATGTGTTAGTAACCTAGACTCGTAAATAGTCTTAAAAATTGCGATACGCACCTAGATTAAAACTGGATTGATTGGAATGTATGATAAATAAAATATCTTCTATTAACACCCCGAGGCAGATTGAATTACATTGCCAAATTGAGTTCTACATCCAACAGAGGGATAAGGGAGGTTGGGGATGTCGACGATTTAATTCCAACAGTTGAATACTGTCATGATATATCAACATAATTTTTATAACAATCGGTGGTCATTTATTCCAAAAGTTATGTTAATTCATCATGAAATACTTTTCTTAATATCGGATTTCCTAAATACGTCAAATGAAACAAAGGCTGTGGGTATTAATGATATAAATTTAACAGATGATTAACTTATGAAATAACGTAATATTCAGAACAATACATGTGACGGGTGATTTTTTTTTAAATACTTGCCTTATAACGTATTTTGTACGTTCAAATGAAACCAAGAAGCGTGCATTACGAGAAATAACAAAAGTTTATGTTGTTACGTCAGTACAGCTGCGATATAATGACGACGCGAAAGTGAAAACAATACTCGAGAGTCTTAAATCGAAAGGCTGACAGGCAAATGCATACACAACAAAGCGTTGCTGTTGAAGCTAGCGTAATTGAAGCGTTTGACGACAGTTTTCAATACACGCGACGACACGCCCACAGGGCAGCACCGCCTCCATCTAAGAAACCCCAATATATTATTGAGCCGTGTAGAAAGTCTGTCACCTGCGACCTGCGACACTTGCCTGTATTAAATTTTCAGTGTGGGCGTTTCATGCATCTGCTTGGTCTCACGGTTCGAATCAACTGTTGGTTACGTATTATCTTTTTTTTATTTACTGTCCCTGTTTTGTAAATTATGGCTCTAAAATGAACATCATTTGAAGTTGTACTTCTTTTGGCGCGTTTGAAAAACTGCTAAACAATTTAATCTTGGCAACCAATAACAACTTTTTTTTTTATTCCAAATTATTTAAATAAACCGTTATCCATAGTTTAATGTATTTACGCTAAATAAATATAATTTCTAACGTGCGTATTTAAGTACACATATAGTTCATTAGATATTAAGAGAATTGAGAATGATGACTCCGTGGCACAGTTGCCAAAAAAGTAAAGAAAGATATCTATAGTTAATCCTCGAATCTGCTGGAATGTAGAAAAGCCTAATCCATAAAAGTAAGTCTACTAAAAGACTTTTAGCTAAATCTAAATATTGTGCATGAATAGCACATGACACTTTTATATTCGTGCTTTGATTTTATAATTCGGCTGTATACGGCTCGTTGTTTGTCTTGAATGGAACAAAGCATTTCGACATAAGGTTTCCTTTTCATACTTTTCATGCCCGTGTGTTTTAGGGACTGAATTTGACGAAAGTTTTATCCACTTTCCGCAAAGAGAAACATGCAACAGGAACAGTTTAACGTTTGTTTTGGCCCTGACCTTGAGTTAATTCTCCCACAAATGACACATGGCATCGACCATCGAAGATACTTTATTTGCTCATATTCATGCGACAGCGACCACTAATTGGTGAAATTGAGGCGTACGTAATCGAAAGGCATCGATCTACTATTGACCATCGTCTGCAATTAAAATTGGAAAATTATTATGTTCTTAAATGGTCAAGGTTGATTTTTCACATAAGCAAAAAAAAGGAAACAGTGTACTTGAACAACTATCGCTATCCAGTCCAGTGGCTGTAGACGATTACTAACAAACTAAGGTATTCCCTTTCGAATTTTAGAGATTATTTTCAGCTAACTACAAAAAAAGAAATGGTTTTCACTCGGTTACTAGTTTTTTTTTTATGTTTGTTATAGAAATCAAATAGAAAATGTATAGTGTATGGGATATTTGAAGTCGGTTTTATTTTCTGTAACTAAACATGTATTACTTGTTATATCTTTAGTGTTATTTTGTTATCCTCTTATTACTAATTCTCGTTGTATTGTTGTTAAATCAACGTGGAACTAATTTCAACTGAATGTTTATATAATAGGATATAATAATTGCTATAAATGTGGAAATAAAATAAGGAGCTGGATGCAAAATGATGTTGAGTCGTAAGGACAAATGTTTACGACAAAAATTTACTTGTACGAATACAATTATTTCATTAGTTTTATTAGCGTTCATGGTCACATAAATGTACCATGAACGCTGTGATAAATTGAAAGGGTTCGAAGCGTAGGGAAATTAAATATTAAAATAAAACGCAACATCACCTGAAAATAGTATTATTTATACGATGTAAAGTATTCGCGTGAATACAAGAAATTATTAAAAATAGCCTTGTTTAATCTAAATAAAAGCTTGTAAAAAGGCAGTTTGTGCGGGAGGCGTATGTTTCAGCATTGGACTTAAACAGGATGAAATGATGACGATGTCTAAAAAGGGAGGGGTCGATATAGGTCTCTGTTGCACGAATGGGCAAGTGCGTCCGGGTAAGTACCACAACCTCACAGAAGGCCAGCGTGAAGTGGAAATTTTATACTTCTGCGTTTCGTCTGGGGCCCACTTTATTGAAAGATGGCAACGCATCTGCAACCCTAAAAGTGTTTCAAATGTCAATGGGCGGCGTTTATTACCTAATACAGGTGAACCGCCAACTCGTTTGCCACCTTCTCTCATAGAAAATGTAAAAGATCGATTAGTGAACCGCGTCTGTCTACCCCGCGTGTTAAACAGCGTGATAGCCTGTCACGTCACCGTGACACGCACCACGTGACATTGTACGTTGAACGCAGGGGCGATCGATGGCACGCGTCGCGGCCAGACCCCTCCGACTAATTTATTGATGGACATCGATTTGTCAACTAACAGCGCGTTGAGACGTTCCGAGTGACAATAAAAACCGCCGCGCAAATTCTACTGGTATTCGAAAAGGAAATGAAACAAATTATGCGAAAATACTCCTTAGCAATAATCACTAAACGTAGACAGCTCAGTTGGAATGAATTGGCATCAGGGGGAACGCTTTGAAGATTCCATATAAAAAGCTGTGTTGACTCTACCTGTGGTAGAGTTACGTATAGCCAACTAAGTATATTGCAAATAGATCCCCCGCCGCCTTGCGGGTAGGTAGCAGGGGTATGTGGGAGTTACGGGGTACCCACGTTACACCTGCTTTGTCGCTTTTGCCGAGGACAGGAACACAAAAAACGCAATATTCCGCGAACCCGGGCGCGACTGCGGCCATCTCAGGCCTCCTCCCTCCGGGTACTTGGACACCCGGTCCAGCCAAATGGTGCCGTGTAAATAAATTAATAAGTCGATAGTTTAATTTTCGGAATCCACTAAAGCGTTGGTTGAAGAGAGAGCGAAGAACCCGACCAAATGCAAGTCGGACTCTCGCACCAAGGGCATCTGTACCATTAACTAAATAAACGGCAAAACTATCATGTCTGTTGTATGGGAGCCCCACTTAAATATTTTTTTATCCTGTTTATTTCTTGTTATAGCGACAAAAAAATACATCATCTGTAAAAATTTCAACTGTCTAATGGTTCATGAGACACAGCGTAGTGACAGACGGACAAACAGACAGACGGACAGACAGACAGACGTACAGCGGAGTCTTAGTAATAGGGTTTTACGTTTTGGGTACGTAACCCTAAAAAGATGAGGGAAATTCAGTCAATATTGGTGAAATTCCCGTCATCTTTTTTCCTGATACTGCATAATCGTATATGTTGAATTGGTTGAAAATATTGCTGTTAAAGGTTAAAATTCAACCTAAATTCATGAGACATGAATATATTGTGTTGGCGACGGTATTGTTTATTGGCCAATAGCATTTAATAACAGCAAACGTTATCAAAATGATATCGCTTATTTGATAACAATCAAGTTTTCATGAGCAATATGCAACGTTGCATACAAGTGATGAGAAAACTTCTTTCGAATTTACAGATGCAATCGCAACCGGCCCATTAGCTCAGTTGGTTAGAGCGTCGTGCTAATAACGCGAAGGTCGCGGGTTCGATCCCCTCATGGGCCAATGTTTTCTTTTTTCAGGACTCCAAATTTTATTTTATTCTAGAAATATCTGTATAAATCAGCATTTGAATTTACTTATCTATTAAAGGTTCGATAGATACCCTGTTCTGTTTTAATGCCGACAGCCCATGAAATGCATAAAAGATAAAGATAACTCACAGAAAAATAATGCCTTAGTAGTTGGCGCTCTACCACTATGAACTTTTCTAGAAATTTCCCGTCATACACGGCTAATCGTTTCATTCAATTCATTGGCTGTCGCCAGTGATATTTCTGAACCAATATGACCTATGGACCTTTAGGAGGAGAGGTGGAGTATAGGAAGTACTTCGATCTTAAAAGTTTGCAAACTTTTATACTCTGCTATTATGGACCCGTAAATATATATATATATAT